AGCAGGAGCCTGACGTGGTGCTCCGAGCTGCGGGGGCCGCTGCTGCTTTTTGCCAGTTCGGGAGCTGGCCGGGCCAGCAAGGGGTGCGAGCAGGGGCCGCCCCCGCGGGAGGGAGGCCCGCCGGTCTTGGCCATCGGCACTGTCTGCGGGACCGATCTGCGGGTCACTCAGCCTGAGGCAGCCCCTGACGCCTGAGAATCGTAGGTCGGGGGGCGAGATCGCAGCGGAGCGGGGGTCTCCCCACCGGGAAAGAGCGGTCTCGTGCTCGCGTGCGTGTCGCGCGTGCGGGCGAGGCGAAGCTGCGTGGGCGCGCGAGAGGACTGAGCCCGCCGCCGCCAGGGCGATTCGGATGCAGTGCACCGCCCCTCCGCTGCCGGTGGGCGCGCGGTGGCCTGGGGTGTCCCGCCGTGGTGTCCTGTGGTGTCCCGTCGATGTTCCTTCGGCGGTGGGCGGGCGGTAGGCGGGCGGTGGCCAGGTTTGTCCCGCCCTGGTATCGATAGCGAAGTCGATAGTGGGGTCGACAATGAGATCGCTAGAATGGGATGGATAGTGAGATCAAAAGTGGTATTGATCGTGGTATTGGTTGTGAGATCGATAGTGAAGTCGATAGAGGAATCGTTAGTGAGATCGCTGGTGGGATCGATCGTGGGATCGATCGCTGAATCCATTGGTAGCAAGGCTGGCCGCGAGGTCGATAGTGGGATCGATCGAATCGAGTGAGACCGAAATCGGGGACGATGGTGCCATTGCATCGCAGCGCAACATCGTCATCACGCGTTGTCGCCAACTCGAGAGCGCGTCACCAGCATCGTCATCATCACACCCATGGCATCTGCAAGCAGTTGGTTCTTTTCCCCCACCCCCCATACTCTTTGTCACCCGAAGGGTGGTCGTATAGGTAATGAAGTCCTGGCCCTACCTAGGTTCACAGTTGTTTTGAGTATCCTCAACCATATGGGTGGTTTCGTCTGGTACATCTGCAAGACAGACCCCCTATCCATAATGTTTCTGGCCCTCCTAACTCAGGTTCCCCCCCAAAGGGTTAGGGGCACTTGTATTGTTCATCTTGAGGGACCTCGGCAGGCGGTGGGTCTGGATACCCTCGGGCCCTGGGGGAGGTGGGGTGTATAGATCTATATCTATTACACCTGAGAAAATCCAATCAGTGAATGATTTGAAAATTGATCCTATGGATCTTGAGATCGATTGTGAGGTCGATAATGAGAGCGATAGTGGAATCGACAGTGAGGACGATTGTAAGGTCGATCGTGAGACCGAGAGTGCAATCGATTCAATGAGATCGATAGTGAGATCGATCGCGAGATCGCTCATGCGATCTCTAGTGAGATCGCTTGTGAGATTGATAGTGAGATCGATTGTGAGATCGATGGTGAGATTGATCGAGGAGTCGGTAATGAGATCGATGGTGAGACCGATCGATAAGAAGATCGACCAGGAACCCGGGAACCTGGGAACCTCGCCGCCCTCCGAAATCGGCCCGGAACCCGGAACCGGGAACCCGGGATTCGGGAATCCAGCGTGTGACCAAAATCGGCGGGGCATTTTCGCCAAATCCTACAACATTCGGAGGTTGGGGGGTGAGTCCGACGTGAAACGGAGCCCCACCCTACCGGGAAATCGATTTCGGTTTCGGGTTCGTGTCGTGCGTGCCGTGCGTGCGTCCGGGCGAGGCGAAGCTGCGTGGGTGGGCCAGAGGAAATCCTCCTGTGGCTGGGCCGCGGCCGGAGCAAATGCAACTCCTCCGGCGGCCGGTGCCCCGTGGAGTCCCGCTTGTGTCCCGCCGGTGTCCCGAAACTCTTGTGGCTGGGCCGCGGCCAGACCAAATGTTTCTCCTCCGGCGGCCGGTGCCGCTCTGTGTCCCGCCGGTGTCCCGCTGGTGTCCCGAAATCCTCCTGTGGCTGGGCCGCGGCCGGACCAAATGATGCTCATCCCGTCAAACGGTGGCCCGCGGTGTCCCGCTGGTGTCCCGCCGGTGCCCACATCGCCACATCACATCACGTGACGTTCACGTGCACAATCACACAACTCACTAGACTCCGCACCACAGGCATCGTCAGAACAACAATCACCACTTTTGCCCATTGCTGCCCCCCCCCAACCTCCTTATCACCCGCAGGGTGGTCGTATAGGTGTGTGTATATATGTATGTATCGGAGGTGAGAGGGGTGAGATTGCAGTGAAACAGAGAACCCCCCACGGGGGAATCGGTTTCGGTTTCGTGTTCGTGTCGCGCGTGTGGGCCAGGCGAAGCTGCGTGGGCGGGCGAGAGGAATGAACCCTCGTCTGAATATGGCGCCGCTGGGCCAAAGACCTCCCCCCTGGTTGGCCGGCGGTGGCCGGGGGTGTCCCGCGGGTGTTCCGCCAGTGCCCAGTCGATGCCCCATCGGTGCCCCGTAGTGGATCGATAGTGAGATTGACAGTGAGATCGATCGTGAGATTGGTGGCGAGATGGATCGCGAGATCGACATTGAGATCGATATTGAGATCGATAGTGAGATCGATGGTGAAATCCACAGTGAGAGGGATAGTCTTAGTGAGATCGGTAGTGAGATCGAGCGTGATATCGATAGTGCGGTTGATTGACTGAAACGGTTGTTTCTCCCCCCTTCCGAATCACCTTATCACCCGAGGGGTGGTCGTATTATATGTATTCGTGTCCACCGCCTGCCGAGGGCCCGAAGATCGATCCGAGACGGTGGTCATAGGTAAATCCCCGCCTCGCAGCAGTGGCTCGGCGCTCTCGTCAGGGGTTGCGAGGAGTGCCCAGGGGAGCGTGGCCGGCGATGGGTGCTGGGCAGCGTCGCTGACGCCGAGGGGTGACGGTGTGGGGCCGTGTGCGGAGTCACCCCGTTCGCCAGGTGATCGGCCTCTTTCCAGGACGCTTGGAGGGGGACCCCAGCTGGCGAAGGGCACCGGGAGCGGCATTAGCCCAGCTATACCTTCGGCCTGGCCGCGGTGGATTCCTGGGGCGGCGTCTCGGGCGACGCCCGAGCATCTTCGGTTCACATCGATGTCATGCGGTGCTTGCTTGTGGGACATGGCGGGCCCGCTTCCTGTTCGATCAGTACGATCGAAATCAGTACGGAACAATTTTGACGATGCCCAACGGCAGTTCTTGTTCATTTCGAACTGGACTCGCTGTCCGCGCCGCCGCGGACGTTGTCCATCTGAGACAGAATGCCGCCTGACCCACAGCGACCGTTGTCGGTTTTGGGCAACATTTGTTGTTGGGAATCGTACCTATTGTTTTCGGTACCCATGCCGGGCGTCTAAATTCAAAGCCCCACGAAGAGCAAATGATGGTTTTCGAGGAAGGCAAACGGATTTCTCTGGCCGGTGTTGGGCACTCTTCCCTCGGGCGGGGGAAAGAGCATCCATGACACGCGCGCCGCCTCCCAAATTGTGTTCGTCTTATTGTATGTTTTGTGCGCAAATGCCTTGCACTCTTTCAGCTGCAACGCTCAACGCGGCGGACACGGAGCTACACCACCGATTCCGGTCATCGTGGGCAACCTTCCACCACCACAAGCACGAATTGAACAGCTCAAACCATCTGCTTTCCCACCGACTGGCTCTTCGATTCGACGGTTTCGCCCACAGCACTCTATGCTTCAGCATTGTGGTTCATAGAACCTCAACGACGGCAGCTGCACACCACCCAGAAGTGTATGATCCGCATCATCATGAACACACCAAGACGCCGACAGCCACGACCATCATTCAACCTCATCGTCTCATGCACCTCGACGGCTTTACACCGCATCCGACACCCGACTCCGACGTTACATCTTCCAAAGACGATGTAGACAGCAATCCATTTGTGACCAGCGACGACCACGCCCACGAGGACACACAATTTGAAGAACAGATCGCCGACAACATCGACGACCTCGAGCCATGGGTCGACTGTGCGCCGAGCAACTCACCGTGCGACAGATCTCATGCAGCATCGCAACCTGGAGCTCTGGACTACTACACGGCGACGTCTAACATGGCGCTTCGCAAACACTGTGGCCAACCACCCGATTCACAGATGGACAAAATTTGGTGTCCATTGGCACCCTACTTACAACCACCGTCAAATCTGACGGAGAGCGCAAGGCCGACAAGCCAAGCGTTGGGATGACATGATGAATTACCTCCGAGCCCAGCTCATTGACCGACACCAGGTCGCCCCGCGGAACCTCCGACATCTTCACGACCCGAACGACATCAGATGGATGACGACAGCCGCCGACACCACATTATGGCTGCAGCTCGAGGAGGGATTCTTCGGAGCACCAGCGCGGAGAACCAGGACTGCAAGACATGACATTAGCATGCGCCACGACGCCAGCGATGCACGCTTTTTTCGTGTTAACAGTCGGACCCCGTTCTAATCAATGGCGTTTCACAGAGAGGCTACGGCCTGAACATTCGGGCCCTAATGGGCACGGAGGCTGATCCGAAAGCGAGCCCCAGTCGAATCGAATCGAATCGAATAAGGCGCGCCACATTGTTGTCACGCATCTCTGGCAGTCCGGTTCCACAGGGCTACGCCCGATTTATATTGGCTGGTTAGACCTGTTGGTGGAGCTCAAGCGGTGAGCTGTCTTGTGATTTGAAACATTCGAGATATCATATGTATTATCGGAGGCGGAACGGAGGAGGAGGAGGAGGAGGAGGAGGAGACGGATGAGGATAAGGTAGAGAGTGAGTTGGAGGAGCAGGAGGAGGATGACGACGGCGAGGACGAGAACGCAGGAGGAGGAGCAAGGAGGAAGAGTGGGAAGGGGCAATCAGTCGGAGGGGTAGGGAGAGGTGAAGGAAGAAGGAAGGGGGCGAGGAGGAGGCGGACGATCCCGAGCAGGACATCCGCGTGTGGGACGACCCTCAGCGTCTTACCCCGACGGGTTTTCCAAGCTAGACCCCGTTGCCTCACGCTTGCCGTCTTCCTCCAGCCCAGACGCTCTGCCTCTCCCCCCCGGGGCGCCCGGCAGGGAGCGGCTTCCGATTGGGCTTTCTTCGGCGTCTACGACGGCCACGGTTGGGAGGGAGGGTGGGGGATGAAGAATTCTTTTCCTCTTACTCCTCATCATCTTCCGCCTCCTCCTCCTCCTCACGTCGTGGCGGCGGGCCCAGCGACGCGCGATGTCCTGCGAGCCAGCAGTGACGGGACATCCCCGCACTTCTCCATCGTTTCTTTCCAAAATACGGACCGGGGAGTCGAAACCCAACAATTCAAACCCGGCCAGGTTCGAGCTTGCCCGGTTCCGCCCCGAGTGGTTTCATTATATTGTCCATGGGCGGGCAGCTCCGAAACAGAGTCTGCTTGGGACCAGCTGGGTCCGAAGCAGGCAGGCTCGCACCGCCGTGCTCGAACAGGACCCCCCCCCCTCCGTCGAACCTCGAAGCCAGCCATGCGGCCGGGCCCTGCCACCAGCACAGCTCCCGCCTCATCCACATTCGCAGTCAACTCCTCCTCCTCGTCCTTCCTCCTCATCGTCCTTCCTCCTCCTCTTCCTCCTCCTCCTCCTCCTTCTCCTCCTCCTCCTCCTCCTCCTCCTCCTCCTCTCCTCCTCCTCCTCCTCCCCTCCTCCTCCTCCTCCTCCTCTCCTCCTCCTCATCATCATCATCCTCCTCCTCATCTCCTCCTCCTCCTCCTCCTCCTCCTCCTCTCATCCTCCTCCTCCTCCTCCTCCTCTCCTCCTCCTCCTCCTCCTCCTCCTCCTCATCATCATCATCATCATCATCATCATCATCATCATCATCATCATCATCATCATCATCATCATCATCATTGTCCTCCTCCCCCTCCTCCTCCTCCTCCTCCTCCTCCTCCTCCAAGGAGCCCCTCGTGCCCTGCACGGAGCCCTGCCTCCCGGGGCGTCCCCCTCCCTCCACCCCCCCGCCCGGGGCCTCGGCCCTCCACGACGCGCTCTGGAGGCCGGAGGCCCCGCGCGGGCGGGCGGCCCGGGGCGCCCGGCGCCAGGCCTCTCCAGGCCTCGAGCCGCCAGCGCACGCCGGCGGCGCGGGCGGAGGCGTGGGCGGACGAAAGGGGCGCGGCCTCCCATCTGGGCGCCCGAGATGGGCACGGAAAGAATGGGCACGATGCCCAACATCACCACCCACCAAACCACCCCAACCCAACCCGAAGGCTCAGATTTACCCTCCATTTCCAGTGGGGGGGGGATCGGGAAACATCGAAAAAACACACGTGGAGCCCTTACCCCCCCCAACCCGAAATTCGGGTCTTCGGGTTGGGTTGGGGTGGTCTGGTAGGTAGTCACAACAGCAGTTCCTGTTCATTCCGGACAGGATTCGCTGTCCACGCCGCCGCGGCTTGTGTCCACTCGAGACGGGAGGCCGCCTGCCCAACAGCGGCCGCTGTTGGTTTGGGGCAACATTTGTTGTTGGGCATTGTACCCATTCTTTCGGTACCCATTTCGGGTGTCCAAATCCCAAGAGGGCCCCAGTGCTTCTGAGGATCGGGCCGGACGAACGGGGGGGATTGGGAAGGGGGGGGTACGAAATTTGCGGCGTGCAGCGGGTTTCGGCCCCGCCAAGGGGGGGTCCATTCCTCGAGACGTGGCCGCATCCCGGCGCCGGGGGGCGCCGGGAGAATCAGCTACGTGAGCTGATTCTCAACCCCCTCCCTGGGCTATCCCCCCCTTTCGCCCGACCCGAGCGGAGGCGTGGGCGGCCAGCGGCGCGGCCTCCCAAGAGGGCCCCGGTGCTTCTGAGGAGCCCTCCCGCCGTGGAAGGCGTGCAAGAGGCCTCCTCGGAGGCCTCCGTCCCTTCTCGGAGACGGCAGGCTTCTGAGAGGGCCTCCTGTCCACGAGGGCCTTCCTAGAACGCAGGGGGCTCCTGAGGAAGCGGTGCGGCTTCTCGGAAGCCTCACTGTCTTGTCGGAAGCCCTTCCCTGAGAAGCCCCCCGTGTCTTCGGAGAAGGCCGCCTCCCTCGCCACGCCCGCCGTGCCATCTCCAGCGTCTGTCAGCCATCTACTTATGTCCATGGGTTGGCAACTACACCACATCGGGTCGGAGTGCGGGATAAGGAGCAGGAGCAGCAGCAGGAAAGAGGAAACAGGAAAAATAATGGGTGACGGGGGAGGGAGATAGCGAGGAGGAGCGGAGGGGGGAGGGGGACGTACAGGACGACGGGGGTAAGGAAGTCCTTGGCCTGGAGGTGGTGCCCCGCTTTCTGATGGCGGTGCCGCCCCCCTCCCCCCCCCCGATCCCCCCGCGCGGGCACGGAAGGGGAAGGGGGCTCAGAAGTTTGTGTCAGCTGTATGCGTGCTTGCGTTGGGCCTCTTCTTCTGCTCGCAGGTAGTAGAGTTTGAAGTCCTATGAGGCAGCCAGACACGGTAGGATTGCAATGCATGTTGTTTCTGGCGTCTGCCGTGGGTCGGTCTGTATCAGTATGTTCGGGTCTCCGACGCGATGGCACCGGCACGAGTCGTGGACACGTGCCATGCCGACACGAAGAGCGCGCCAGCATGGTTAGACATGTTCTAGCGACCGCTGTGAATGTGGGTGCAAGAGGCCTCTTTCGCTCTCCACACCTATCTGCAGCTCGCTAATGGTAGAGGAGGGGGGCAGAGAGAGAGAGAGAAAGAGAGAGAGAGAGAGCGAGAGAGAAGAAGGGGGAAAAAAGGAAAGACAAATAGAGAAAACGAGAGAGCGATAGAGAGAGAGAGAGGAAGAGCGGAACAAATGGAAATAGGGAGAGATTCAGGGAGGGAGAGGACGAGAACGAGATGGCGTGTGTGGTTGTGTGTGGCGCTTGGCATGGCGGGGTTCGGCGGGTGAGGCTGTCCCTTCTGCATGTGCGGGTGTTGCATGCAGCAATAACGTTGAGATTGGCCGTCCCAGATGTGCCAAGTGTAGAGACACCGGCAGATCCTAGAGATCAGCGATCGCCGATATATTAACTAGATAACCGAGTTGAATTGTTTTCATTGCGTTTGAGGGGACCCCAAAGTGCCCCAAGAGACTTCCAAAAGGCCCCCAAGAGCCGCCCCGAGGGACCCCAGGAGCGCCCGAAGAAGGCCCGGGACTGCCCAAGAGTGCCGCAAGACGGCCCAATACAGCCCAACTGGGCGCCAAGATGGCCTGAGAGAGCCCCCTATAGAACCCTAAGACATGTCCAGACAGCCCAAGAAGACCCCAGTAGCCCCCAAGATGACCCCGACAGACCCCCAAGAGGTCCCCAGGATGCCCCAGGATAACCCCAGACGGCCTCAACAGCCCACAGGGTCGCCTCAAAAGATCACGAGGACCCATCTCTTCTTCGACGTCCGTTTCGTCGGGCTCCTTACCGTCTTTCGTCGTCGTCGTCGTCCTTTTTCTTCTTCTTCTTCTTCTTCTTTTTCTTCTTATCCTCCTCCTGCTCCGATCCGTTTCTCCTCGTACTGGTCCCCCTCCATCTGTTCCTCGTCCTCGCGTTTGTCCTCCTGCGCGTTGCTCCTCTGCCCCCCTCGCTGCCCTCCCCCGTCATCCACGCTGCCATCCTCGACATATGCCGCCCTGTCGTCGCCGTCATCCAGGCAGAGCAGGCAGAGGGGGAGGAGGAGGGGGAGGAGGAGGAGGAGGAGGAGGAGGAGGAGGAGGAGGAGGAGGAGGTGGAACTGGCGGGAAGGGCAGGTGGACGCGGCGCCGTGGACGCGTGCAGGGACCAGCTGCACCAGGCCGCGCCCGGGTGGGGGAGGGGGGCCTTCTCCTGCGGCGGGCGAGACGCCACCGATCAGCGCGCGGGTCTCTCCGCCGGCGGGCCCGGCTCCCTCCCCCTGCTTCCCGAGGTCCTTGGACCGCTTGGCCTGCCTCGGGTGACGTCGAGGAACGGGTATTCAGAGCGTGAATTACCTACCCCGCTTTCGCTTCCAGGCAAAACCAAGTCATACCACGCGCCTCCTCGTCAAGCGGCCTGACCAGTTCAGGCCGTAGTTTGGCATCGTGTGGTATCTCTTGGAAGCGAGGGTGGTCAAAAGCGAGGTAGGTTTGCTTTCTCCCTAGGTATGGCCAGAACCCCAGGTAAGGGGACCCGGTTAGTGGTAGGGCCCTGGGGCCCTTGAGTTGGCCAGAATCACAAGACCAGGTCTGCCGTAGCTGGTGCTTCTTCGGGTGACGGCAGCTCCGGTCAGCGGAACGGGGCGGGGGAGGGCGTCCCCTAGTACACATCACGAAACCAGGCCCCACGAAGCCCACTCCTGGCACCGCCCGAGAGGAGCCGTCGGCTCCGCCTCCTCGCGAGGAGAGTGCGCCTGCCCAGCTGTCGCCTGCCCAGCGGCTGCTCCAGGTTTCAGGAGGGAAAAAACACACAGACACAATTAATCGTCGATCCCCCAGAAAATATAGGAAAATATGGGAAGTGGTGGGGAAGACAGAAACCCAGAAAATATCTGAAAATACGGGGAATCTTTTATTTGTGTGTATTTATTTGTGTGTCCTGGGGCCCCTTCAAGGTTGCCCCTGGCCCTCCGTGACGAGGAGTGCTTTCGGCCGCTGCTCCCAGCGGTCGGCGAACGGCGTCGGGATGACTCTGGCGGATGGTCTGTGGGGTCTGTCCTCGGGGCCCTTGGCATCGCTCGGGCGTGTGCATGTTTCCTTCGGCGAGGATTATTAAGGAGCATCCTGGATCGTGCTGCGAAACACCACGCACGAAACCGAAACAAAAACACAGGGAGTGGACGTCCGAGCGATGGCCAGGGCCTGCCTCGCTTTTTTTCGGGCCCTGAGGCGCCCACTGCCAGGCCTTCTCTCCCTCAAATTTGGCCCGGTTCTGTGCAGTTGCATGCAGAAGTGACGCGGCCTGTCGCGGGCAAAAAGAAACCTCCTTCCTCCTCCCTCCTCCTCCGCCTCCCCCTCTTCCTCCTCCTCCCCCTCCTCCTCCTACTCGAACGGTACTGGTTCTGCTCATTTCACCCCTTCCCTTGGCCCGCCGCTGTTCTGGCTCGAGGCCTGATCAGTGCGCCGTGCCCGCCTTTTCATTGTCGGTTTCTTCTCGCGCTCACCGTTTCGGTTCCGTCCACGGCGGTCGACGGATGCAGTGCGCCAGAGGCAGCGTTCGACACTCGCCCTTGCTGCCACGCCATATCGCTCACCACGTCGCGTCGTGAGGACCGCGTCGTGCTCGGGCCTCGCTGTGCCCCGCCCCCCAGGAAACGACCAAGAATCACTACATTAAGTCGGGCCCGTCTTTCTACAGGGGAATATTCAAAATTAGCTTGGCGAAAGACCCAACCATATGCAGTTGTGAATACCGCAATTGTGAATACCATCTTCGCCCGCGCTCCCTATGTGGCCACGGTCCCCGCCGGAGCCCGACATGCTCAGGAACGCGTTCGTGGCCGCCTTCGGGCGCCGACGACGACAGGGACGGCGTCTCTCTGACCGAGAAGCAGAAGCAGGAGATGGCTTTGAGAGCCATGAGGGAGGAGGTGGCGTTGCACGTCGACAAGGCGGAGTACGACGCCCACGCGCGGTTGTTGAAGCAGCACAACTACGGGGCCACGATCCTCGTGATGGGGTGTGCCGCAATGGCCCGGGGCCGCCATGCGAACCTTGTCACTGGCGCCGTCGGTGGAGCACTTGGGGGGCCGCGATCTTCGAGAGGGTTGTGCCGAAATTGCCCGAGGCCGGGCCTTCGGTGGAGCTCCCTACGGGGCTGCGATCCCCGTGAGGGATGTAACGAAATGGCCCGAGGCCGACATGCGAACCCTGCCACTGGGGCCTTCGGTGGAGCCCCCTATGGGGCCACGACCCTCGTGAGGGGCGCGCCGAAATGGCCCGAGGCCGCCATGCGACGGGCGTCGTGGCCCCCTTCCCCCCTTTTTATGACGCAGCGCTCGCCCCCCAGTGCGCTCCGGGCCCTGCCGCCGTGCGCGCCGGGATCCGCGCAGGTGTCCGCGTAAAAATCAGCATGGAAGTTTGGTCCGCAGTCGTCGTCGTCGTCGTCGTCGTCGTCGTCGTCGCCGTTGTTATCGTCACTCGTGGCTCGTCGCTTATCGTCGTCACGCGCACGGACGCGGCGGGAACTTGTTATTTGTTCCAGGCCGATCGCGGCAATCATCTGAGGGGGTGCGGAGGGGGTCGATGACATCATGTTTCGCGCCGGCGGCGTCTTGGCATGCCTAGGAATGACGGAGGACGGGTCGCACCAGCATGTAGGTGGCGATTTGCACCACAACGTGTGTGTACACCACATTGCCTGCGTGCACCACAGCGCGCGTGCACACCACAGCGCCAGTTTGTGCCACCGTGCTCGCGGGCACAACAGCTGTTGTGTACACCGCAGCGCCTGCGTAGTACACCACATCAGCCGTGTGCAACACAGCACCAGTGTACACCATAATGCCCGCGTGCATTGCAGTGCCTGTGTGCAACACGGTGCCTGTGTGCACCACAGCAACCGTGTGCAACACAGCGCCACACTTGCATATGACAAAATGGAGCGCTTGTGGATTCCCAAAGAAACCCTATGGACAAAGGAGTGCCGCTGGAATCTACGAGTTCCCCCGAGTCCGCCCGCATCACCCTAACGCCTCCCATCTGCGTCCAGGAGGCTCCAGCAAAATTGGCCGTGCGAGAACCAACTGGAACGATTTAGTAAACCATTATGCGGTGCATTGCGAACTGAATTGCGCACGTGCGCTGTAGCGCCGGCCCGCACGAGGAGGAAAAGGAGGAGGAGGAAAAGGAGGGAGAGGAGGAGGAGGAGGAAGAGGAGGAGGAGAGGAGGAGGAGGAAGGGGAGGAGGCGGAAGAGGAGGAGGAAGAGGAGGTGGAGGTGGAAGTGGAGGCGGAGGAGGAAGGAGGAGTGAAGAACGTCGCATTCGATTACCAGCACTGTCCTGCACGCAGACACTGGTGTACAGTCGCGTTGCGTTGCACGCGGATGCTGTGGTGTAGACAGGCGCTGTGGCGTGCACAGGCGCTGCGGTGCACGCAAGCATTGTGGTGTACACAGGCGCTCTGTTGCACATGTTTGCTGCGGTGTACACATGTACACCGGCGCTGTAGTGTACGAAAGCACTAAGGTGTACACATGCGCTGCGTTGCACACGGTTCTTGCGGTGTACGCAAGTGTTGTGGTGTTCGCGCGCGTTGTGGTGCACGCGAGCAACGTGTACAAAGGCGCAGTGGGGCATATCGCCACCTACATTTTGCTCGCGTCGTCCTCGTCGTCGTCGTCGTCGCTTGTCGCTCGTCGCTCGTCGCTCGTCGCGTCGTGCGCGCGGGCGCGGCTGTGGTTCCGGAACAACGTGGCGGAAGGGGGGCGTTACGTCATACCCCCCCCCGCCCCCCCCCCCCATGACGCTTGTCATCGCCGAGCATAAAGAAACAGGGGTGTGCCGAAATGGCCCGAGGCCGCCATGCGAACCCTGCCGCTGGCGCCTTTGGTGGAGCTCCCTATGGGGCCACGATCCTCGTGAGGGTGTCCCGAAATGGCCCGAGGCCGCCATGCAAACCCTGCCAGTGGGAACCTTCGATGGAGCTCTCTATGGGGCCACGACCCTCGTGAGGGGTGTGCCGAAGTGGCCCGGGGCCGACATGCGAACTCTGCCAGTGGGAACCTTCGGTGGAGCTCCCTATGGGGCCACGATCCTCGTGATGGGTGTGCCAAAATGGCCCGAGGCCGCCACGCGAACCCTGCCATTGGGGCCTTCGGTGGAGCTCCCTATGGGGCCACGGAACGCTGTACTGGGTGGGCAAAACGCAGGGAGGAGGGAGGAGGAGGAAGAGGAGGAGGAGGCGGGAGGGAGGGACGCGGGGCGCTGTTTCTTCAAAGCGAGGACCCAACACCACAGGATGGTTGGGAAGTAGTAAGATAATAGTTTGGGGATTATTTTGTGAGTAGATTGGTGCATTTTGGTGCATGTTTTTTATTTTTATTTCTTTCGCCCAAAAACTCATTGTAGTGGGACAAGCCCGACCTAATACTACACTGCTCTGTTGTGCTCCTTATCTCGCGGTAGTCCTGGCATGTGCTGGCAGCGGGTCTCCAAACGTGGCTGGGTGATGAATATGTCCCTCCTCCCGGCGGCGCGCCGTCGCGGGCGGGGCGAAGGACGGGGGGCTCATGAAGAAGTCAGGGCACTTCGCGCGCCGACGGGTCGGGTTTTTGCAGAGCCTGTTTTCCCTTGCAGCCGCATCGTCAAACCCAGGGACCTTCCGACGGCACGATTCTGCTCGCGACGTCGGGCCCCAGCGCCTCTCAGGCGCCGTCACCGGGGCGGGTCCGTTTGCCATGCTGAGCCTCTCTTCCGTGGCCCTGGCCTCCGCCCCGGGCCTCCGGAGACACCCAGAAGCCAGCCGTCTCGAGCTTTACCGTTCTGTCGGGCCTGTCCCTCGACAGGAAGAATATTCAAACATAGGTACAAACAAAAGCAGTATGTTTTGACTATGGTTGACCATTTGGTGTGCCTTTTGGAGTCTTTTGATGGATCTGTCGCCCAACATCCCCCCGTGGGGGCACAAGCCCGACCTGAGTTTTTACCGTGATGCCGCGGGGCCGGGCCCCCCCCTCGCCCTCCCCGGAGCCTCGAGCCTGGCCTCCGCAGTTCTCCCGGAATTCCGGGGGGGCGCACCCGGCCGCGGCGACGGGGGCGCCCCCACGGGAGGTTCGCGTGCGCACAAGCGCCCAGCAAAAAAAAAAAAACCTTCGGCCCGAGTCTCCGACCTCGATGTCGGAGGGGGGGGGAGGAGGAGGAGGAGGAGGAGGAGGAGGAGGAGGAGGAGGAGGAGGAGGAGGAGGAGGAGGAGGAGGGAGGAGGAGGAGGAGTAGGAGGAGAGGAGGAGGGGGAGGAGGAGGGGAGGGGAGGAGGAGGAGGGGGGGTGGACTGTCCCTGCCTGCGGGCACGATTCGTATCCGTCCCCAACTGCGGGGAGGAGCGCCGACGGGCCGAGGCGCAGCGGACCGGGAGAGCAATCGACCCTCTCGGGGGGGGCGGATGCTGATCCGCGTCCACGGCGCCTCGGGGGTGCGAAGCTCCAGGGTGCAGCGGATGCGGACCCCGCACCCTGCCCACACCTGCCCGACCCTCGCCTCCGCCCCCTCCCCTCGCGCGTCCCTCCGAGGTGGTCGCCGCCGAGCTCCAAGGCGGGCGGCCGTGAGCGGGGGGTGGAAGAGGCGAGCGGAGAGAGAGCCCGGCGGCCCTGGGGGGCGGCCGAGAGGGGGGTGATGACCAGGGGAGGGGGCGGGGGGGACTCTCACAGCTGGGGCCACGATATCTCCCAGATCTCATGGCCCTTTCTCCCTCTTTCAGTGCGGCGTCGCCTGCCTCCCCGCCTCCCCCCTGGGCCGCGCACGTGCCTCGGACCGTGATTCCCGAACCCCCCTCTTGGACGCCCCCCTCTCGGACGCCCCCCTCTCGGACGCCCCGAAGCCCGAGTTTCCTGTTGCTGGCGCTCCTCGCTCGCTCCTGCGGGCGTGTCTCTGTGCCTTTGTCGTTTGTCCGTGGGCCTCGAGAGACCTCTCTCGCCTCGACGACCTGCCGTGCAGCTGGTGAGGCCATCCGCCCGCGGAAGTGCAGCGATGCCGCGTTGCGTTCAATGATCCATCATGGCACGGGGCGTGATCGATTCCCAGCGGCAGGGAAAGCACATTGGGGATGGTGTCGTGGTGCACGGTGACAGTTTGATCCCGCACGTCGTATATGGGGGCCATGCCCATAGTGACTGACCTGCACCTGGTAGTATTCAAGGGTGTCCAGGGATCTCGAGATGCCCATACTTTTTGGGGAAACTCGGCAAAACATCGCGACAGAGGGCATTCATGTGTCCCTGCCCCAGAACCCAGAGGCTATTTTTGGGACCGGGGGTGGTCGAAAAATGAATCAGGATGAAAAGCCCGTGTTTAGGGAAAGAAGCGGGAAGTTTGGGATTTACGATGCGAAAAACAATGGTCATCGGATGTCTGGGGCCTCCTCCCCCTCCCTCCTTCCTGCCTCCTCCTCCTCCTCCCACCTCCCTCGTCAATCCTCCTCCCTCACTTACCCCCCCCCCTCCCTCCTTCACTGGGGCGCTTCCGTGGCTGTTCCTCCCAGCGCTCCTCGTGCACCCAGGCGCTGTTGGGGCCTTGGGGCCAGAGAGGGGCTTCGCTCCTCATTTTGGCAATCCCTCTGGTATCAGGGGCAACGATAGGGAGGGATAGGCATAGGGGGGGATGCATCGACCCCCAATCGCCCATTGATCGGCGATAGGGGCCCGATGGCCCCAATCTGCCCAGGAAGGTGCGGATTCACCACCGGAGGCCTATCGCCGAGCTGTCGACGACGTGTCGCCGAGTCCAGGCCGAGGCATCCCCCCCCTGTGCCTATCCCCCCTTGTCGTTGCCCCTCATGGTGGCCGCGTGGCCTGCACGAAGCCCGCTGCGTGCGGATCGGCCTCGGCGCCGCCGCCCTCCTCCTCCTCCTCCTCCTCCTCCTCCTCCTCCTGCTCCTGCTCCTCCTCCTCCTCCTCCTCCCTCCTCCTCCTCCTCCTCCTCCCTCCTCCCTCCTCATCCTCCCTCCCCCCCTCCTCCCTCCTCCTCCTCCTCCTCCTCCTCCCTCCTCCTCCTCCTCCTCCTCCTCCTCCTCCTCCTCCTCCTCCTCCTCCTCCTCCTCCTCCTCCTCCTCATTCTCCCTCCTGCTAGCCGCCTCATGCTGGGCAGGCCGGCCACGGGCGGCTCCTTCGCTGTGAGGCCCCCTCTCTTCCTGCCTCCCTCCGCGGCCTCCTCGGAGGCCCGGCCCCCCCGGGGCCGTCCGCGCCCGACCCTGGGCGCGAGGGTGGCCTGCCCGGGCCCCCCCCCGGGTGGCCTGCCTGGGCCCCCCCTTTTGCCTGGTTGCACGGGGTTCGGAGGCAACCCCTGGGAGGTCAAGTTCTGTGATCGCCCTGGTCCGAAAGCCGGCTTCATCCGGCCCAAATCCCGCTTGATCCGGCCCAAATCCCGCTTAATCCCGCTTCATCCGGCTTGACTTGCTTAGTCCGAGGCCTTCTCCGGCGTAACAGCTCCCAAATGGGGCTTAATCTTTTTGTTTTAATATTGTAGTGGCCTTCGGCCAGTGCCGCCGATCCGGGTCGCTCGGTGTTATTCTCCAGACGCAGACATTATGGGCGCACACTCAAACGCACAAACTTCTCGGGTTACCTTCGAAAGGGCGTAGGAATGCAGTTGGGTCAATAGAGCCATCTCGTAACAGTGGTTCTATCAACGGCGGGGTGCTTGCAGTGACCGTGGGGACGGGAAATAATAGTGACATGAAATTTCCATACAGGATGCCGATCACTTTGGAAACTCACGATACGTCGTGCACGGAGTCGTGTTACGAAACGTGTGGCCTGGACGATGTGGTGCGAGCGGTGGAGGCGAGCCTATCGGCGCAAGGACGCCCTCTTGGGGCGTTTTTTGAGCCATCTTAGGAGCCTGTCAGGGCGTCGTGGGGGCTTCTTGGGGGCTTTCGGAGGCCCTCTTGGAGGCTCTTGGGGCCTCCTGGGGGCCTCGTGGGCTGGAAGGCTAGATTTTTTCCGCTTTTCGTCCCTCTTTTGGGTCCTCTTGGGGCCGTCTTGGGGGCCTGTTGGGCCGTCTTGGGCGGCTCTTGGGCCGCCTTGGGGCCCTCTTGGGCCGTCTTGGGACTGTCTGGGGGCCTCCTGGGCCGTCTTCGAGCGGTCTTGGGGGCCTCTTGGGCCGTCTTGGAGCGTCGGAAAGCCGAAAAAAGCGACAACCCCAAAAACATTGAAAAAACCAATGGGAATCAACGATTTGTGCCTCTGGGGGCCATCGTGGGAGGCCTCTTGGAGGCCTCTTCAGACGTCGTGGAAGGCTCTTGGGCCGTCTTGGAGCCATCTTGGGCGTGTTCGGGCGATCCTTCGGGGTCTCGGGAGTTTCGTAGACCGTCCTCAGAGACTTTTGCGGCCGCGGCCACCCTTCCAGCGCATCCTCGAGATTAGAGCCTTCTGTAAAAGCAGCGCCCCGCATCCGCCGGAAACTCGCCCCCCCCCCCATCCCCCTTTCCCCGGCAGAGCCACCCCAGCCACCCCCCCAGAGGCTGAGGGTCAGCCTCGAGGCTGTAGCTGAGACTCCTTGAAACTCACACGCCGGATCGGCGGATTTCCGACGGAAACCTCCCAGTAGTTGCCTCCTAAACAGGGCCGCCCTCCACGCCCTGTCCTGCGCCATGCTTGGTGCGTTTCGCGTCTCACGGGCTCCACGGTGCCCCTGGAGTTCCTCGGAGGCCCCCCGAGACCGCCGGATGCCGCCAGGGCGCTTGCCGAAAAGCAAGAGCGTGAAAATACCTGGATCCTCTTCCATCAGGAGACCATTTCTTTATTGCTTGGGGCATGACGGGCGTCATGGCCCCCGCCCTCCCCCCCCCATGACGTAACGCTCCCCCCCCCCGTGTGCTCCGGGCATTGCCGCCGTGCGCATTGGGATCCGCGTAGGTGTCCGCGCAGGAATCCGCATAGGAGTTTGGTCCGCAGTCGTCGTCGTCGTCGTCGTCGCTCGTGGCTCGTCGCTCGTCGCTCATCGTCGTCGTGCGCGCGGACGCGGCTGGAGCCTGTTTTTTTATTCCGGGCCGATGACGGCAATCATCCGGGGGGGGTGGAGGTGGTCGATGACGTCACGTTTCGCGCCGGCGGCGCTTGGGAATGCTTAGGAATGACGGAGGACGGGTGGCACCAGCATGTAGGCGGCGATCTGCACCACAACGCTTGTGTACACCTCAGTGCCTGCGTGCACCACAGCGCCTGTGTACACCACGCCGCCTATGTACACCACAGCAGCCGCGTGCAACACAGCGTCAGTTTGTGCCACCGCGCGCGCGGGCACAACAGCTCTTGTGTACACCACAGCGCCTTCGTACACCACATCCGCCGTGTGCAACATAGCACCAGTGTCCACCATAATGCCTGCGTGCATTGCAGTGCCTGTGTACACAACGGCGCTTGTGTGCACCACAGCCACCTTGTGCAACACAGCACCGCTGTTGTATGTAGAATGTCAGAAGAATCATAATGACAAAATGGAGCGCTTGTGGATTCCACCGAAAACATTCGAAAATAATCTCTATGGACAAGGAAACGTCATGGGAATCTACGAGTCCTTGCAAGTCCGCCCGCATCACCGTAACTCCTCTCATCTGCGTCCAGGAGGCTCCAGCGAAATTGGACGTGCGAGAACCAAGTGGGCCGATTCAATCGACCATTCTGCGGTGCACGCTGAGTTGCGCACGTGCGCTGCAGCGCCATCCCGCACGACAGGGGCTAAGGAGGAGGAGGCGGAGGAGGAGGAAGAGAAAGAGGAGGAGGAGGAGGAGGAGGAGGAGGAGGGGGAGGAGGAAGTGGAATTGGAGGAGAAGGGAAGAGGGAAAAACGTCGCATTCGATGATCATCACTTTCTTGGCGTGGCGCTTCCGCAGCAGATCCTCACGTACAGGCTCCTTCTACCAGCCTTATGCACGCAAGCATTGTGGTGTACAATAGCGCTGCGTTGCACGCGGATGCTGTTGTGTAGACAGGCGCTGTGGCGTGCACAGGCGCCGCGGTGCACGCAAGCATCGTGGTGTACACGGGCGCTGTGTTGTACATGGTTGCTGAGGTGTGCACATGTACACCAGCGCTGTATTGTACGCAAGCACTGCAGTGTACACAGGTGCTGCGTTGCACACGGTTGTTGCGATGTACGCAGGCGTTGTAGTGTACACGCGCGCTGTGGTACACGCGAGCGTTGTGGTGTACACAGGCGCAGTGGAGCTGATCGCCGCCTACATGCTGATCGCGTCGTCGTCGTCGTCGCTTGTCGCTCGTCGCGTCGTGCGCGCGGGCGCGGCTGCGGTGCCGGAGCCACACGGCGGGGGGGTCGTTACGTCATACCCCCCCCGCCCCTCTTCCCCCCATGACGCCCGTCATCACCCAACATAAAAAACGCTCTCCAGGGGCAACGATAAGGAGGGATGGGCTGAGGGGGAAACGCATCGATCCCCCATTGTCCACTAATCGCCGATCGGGGCATGATATAGCCCACCCCGCCCATGAACACGCGGTTTCGCGATCGCGGACCCATGCGTGCATGGCCGACTCACGTTTTGATTCCCCCCTCTGAGCCAGTCCCCCCGGGTCGTGCCCCCCACACCTCGCCCCTGATCCTCCCGCCGCCGCCGCCCTGTCTGCGCCGACAACGTCCTCGGGGGCCCGAGGGGGGGGCACGAGGCGTAGTCAGAGCCCCGAATCATCAGGGGTAACTCGGGTCAGGGATAACTCGGGTTCGTTTTACGGGAATCCAAACCCGAGTTGCCCCGGACCCGAGTTACCCCGGATAACTCGGGCGTCCAGAGCCCCGAATCATCAGGGGTAACTCGGGTCAGGGCTAACTCGGGTTCCTTCTTCGGGAATCCAAACCCGACTTACCCCGGACCTGAGTTACCCCGGATAACTCGGGCGCCCAACGTAGGGGAGCGAGGGAAGAGGGGAGTGCACGAGGAGCAGGAGACCGGGGATCAGGGGCAGCACTAGGGGGGATAGGCCTCTGGCGGAGACCCTTGTTGGGATCTCCTCAGGGGGATCGTCAGGGTGACACATGTTTTCGTTCAGAGCAACTTTGATCAGATGAGGAAACGATACTGATACCGCTACCCCTGCCTCGTCGCCACCGCTGGGTTCCGCGCAACCTCGGAATCTTTGTCAGACCGCGCCCCTGGAGAGGCCCGGGGAGAAGCTAGGCTCGGGTAGGGACGCATGGATCCCCAATCGCCCGTTCATCGACGATAGGGGCCTGATGATTAGCCCATCCTGCCAAGGAACGTCCATAACGTCCAGTCTCGAGATCGCGGGCACATCGCTGATCTATCGGCGATGCTTCGCCGATTCAAGCTCGATGTTCCCCCCCCTGGAGCGAACATTCGGAGGAGGAGGAGGAGGAGCAGGAGCAGGAGCAGGAGCAGGAGCAGGAGCAGGAGCAGGAGCAGGAGCAGGAGGAGGAGGAGGAGGAGGGGATGGGGAGGAGGAGGAGGAGGAGGAGGAGGAGGAGGAGGAAAATCAAGGATGTGCTGTAGCTCCTCGGTGGACGACAAAGACGACGACGCCACATCGGTGCCGGCGCCTCGCGCAGCGGAGTCTTCGGAGTTCCCCCAGGCTTGGCGCCGGTGGACAGCGCCGGCGTGCACGCCGCCCTGGCCAGGGCCTTCGAGCAGGCTCCTGACGGTCGTCGTCGTCGTCGTCGTCGTCGTCGTCGTCGTCGTCGTCGTCGTCGTCGTCGTCGTCGTCACCTTCCTTCTCGTTCTCCTCCGTGCCCCAGAGGGAGGATGGAGGAGGGAGGAGGGAGGAGGAGGAGGAGGAGCAGAGGAGAGGAGACTGTGGGTGTGTGTGTGTGCGTGTGTGGAGGAGGAGGAGGAGGAAGAGGAGGGAGGAGGAGGGAGGAGGGAGAAGGGAGGAGGGAGTCGAGAGAGGAGGGAGGAGGGAGGAAGGAGGAGGAGGTTGGAGGAGGCGGAGGAGGAGGAGGAGGAGGAGGGTGAAGGAGGAGGAGGAGTAGGAGGAGGAGGAGGAGGAGGAGGGAACGAGCGAGCGAGCGAGCAGAAGCCGAAAGGTGGTTGGGTCAGAGGCCAGTAGCGGCCCGAGGGGATCGTCGGCTGCGCACAGCCTCCCCCGCCAGTCCTTCCGCAAAGGGGGACCGAAGTCGTCCTTTTGGCCGAGAAGGAGGAGGAGCAGGAGGAGGAGGAGGAGGAGGAAGGAGGAGGAGGAGGAGGGGGAGGGAGAGGGGGAGGGGGAGGGAGAGGGAGAGGGGGAGGGGGAGCAAGGGGAGAAGGATCACAAAGGAGGGTGGCGGGGAGGACAACAGTTACCGACAGCCGCATGTGGAGAACGATCGACTTTACATGATCGTATTTGCTAGAGTTGCTTTTGCTTCAGGGCATTAAGTTCTAATGAAGGTTCAAGCGAAACGCTCGGCCCGGCCATCGGACACGCTTGAGGGTGCTACAGGGAGGAAGCAAAGTACCACGAAAGCGTATGTTGGAGGAGGGACAGAAGGAGGAAGAGGAAGAGGAGGATAACCAGTGTAAACCCAAGACCCCAAGACACATCAACGATGTTGAAACGAACCCTCCCTCTAAGCTCCCTCCTCATAGGTCCCTACAAGAAGTTGTTTCCTCGCGATGAACGCCTCATTGGAAGACAAGCGTCTGAGAATCCTCAGCCGCATCGACACACCATTCTTGGGACCTCAGCGCCACGAGTCCATATGATTGCTCCGTCCTGACAATTCTATTTCGCGCCAGAAAACCAGTCATGGAACTTTGTCCATACGAATCCTTGAAACTGTCGAGAGCGTTCAAGACATTGCAATACTTCGCTGAGCTAAGGCCTGAGCCACATTTGGAACATGAGCCGCTCTGGCAACTTCGTACGACGAATGCACGCGGCGCTAAGGCGAGAGCCACGTAAGGAACCGCCCTCCATTCGTGAAACCCTTTGCAACCGTTTAGGACGGAGGTGCGCGGCGCTAGTGCGACAGCCACATTTCGAAAACCACGCGTCCGCCATCCGTGCAATGTTGCAAATGTCAAGCCTCGGAATCATGCATGGGAAGGAAGTTTTATGCGAAACGCCTGTCCCGCCCTACAGGCACGCCTGGGGGTGCGACAGGGAGGATTTATTCAGAGGAGGACACGAGAAGAGAGTCAGCTTCTTTCTGTTCCCCCCTCTTTATTGCCCCCCTCCCCCCTGAGCCCTCCTACTCCTCCAGTCTCCTCCTACCCCCTTCCAGCCCTCCCCCTTTCCTCTGGAGTATCCCCCTTCACCCTCCAGTGGACCCACCCACCCTCATGAGGGAGGAGGTTCGTGGATACAACGGGTTAGCAGACATCGCATTTTGTAGCGAAGAGCAGAAAGCATGATTGCCCAAAGCCTGCAGAAGGTGCGGTGGAACTGGGATCGTTCACGTGGCCCGCCTCGGTTGGGTGGGGGTACGAAGGACTGAAGCGGACACCGCTCCAGGTTCCCCTTAAATCATTGCTGCGGCGAGCGGGAGAAGAGGCGGAGGAGAAGGAGTAGGATGTGGCGCGAGCGACGTCACGTCCAGGCCCGCATTCGTGCGGCGTCGTGATTTTCTGGACGGTGTGTCTTGCTTCTCGTCTGGTTGGGCTCCCAGAGGGTCTACCAGTTTTGATGTTCGGCAGTGTGTCGCAGTGTCGGCATAAATAGCAGGGGTGCGCGTGCTCCAGAGAGCCTTGTTAGCCACTGCTGTACAACCAGTGACGCGGATGCAGAAGGCGTCGGTGTTCGCCGCGACGGCCGCGTCCACGAATGCGACAGCGGCGACGGCCACGTGGGCAGCGACGGTCGCCGACAGGAGGTGTGTTTAGCAGATTTGACAGGGTCTTTGCGGAGATTTCGCAGGGTCGTTGCAGGTTGCAGGAGTGCTTTGCAGGGAACGTATTTCTGTTTTTGAAGGGTCTCGTGGGGCCCTTCTGTGGCTCTCTTGCGGGACATGCGGGCCCTCTTGAGGGGCATCGATCAAGAGGGGGGGTCTCAATGTTTGGCCGCCCCGTCGGAGTCCGAATGATCCCCTCTTGGGGGCTCCCTTGGAAGCTTTCTTGAGGAGCTCTTGGGGTGCTCCTTGGGGCCGTCGTGGGGCCAGCTAGGGTCCTTCTGGGGGCTCATTTTGACTCGTCCGACTCGATTCGGTTTCGATCGATTCCGATTCCGATTCGATCCTATGTCGATTCCGAAGTCTCATGGGGGTACTTGCCAGCATCCCGATGTTTCCTCCGATTCGACTTTTTCCCGACTTGGCTGTCGAGTTCCGCACATCCCGTTTCTCGATTCGATTCTGGGCATTCATGCCTTCTCGGGGCTCCCTTCGGCCAGCTTGGAGCCATCCTGATGCCTCAGAAGCCCATCGGAAGCGAAAAGATGGGAATGCAAGCACCACGTTCCAAAGACATCCTCGCTTTTAGGGGGTCGGATGTACTTCTCTTTTGGTTGTGTGTGCCGAATGTTCGCTTACCCTAGCGTCTTTCTGTTGGGCTCGTGCTGCATCGGCAACACCCCAACATACTTATACTATATGTGCGTCGCCCCCCCAGGGGCGACGCGCGCACCGAGAAATCTTATAGTATATGCGTCGTGGCGGGCGCTTTCTGGCCACACCGCTCGGGAAACGATCTACTACAAGATGGGTATACTATATGTTCGGGTCGGACGCGCGCCTCCAAGGAGGACATATAGTACTAGTATGTCCATGTGCGTCCCACTGCAGGGTCGCCCCCTCGGTGGTCAAAGGCTGCTTGGGTGTGAGAAAGGTCGAGCGCATCGGGCCATCGGTGATCCTGACATCGACGAGGCCGAGCGCTGTTGGCGGGCAGGGAGAGGGAGCGCCGCGGCAGACCGCGCTGCGACGCTCGGAGCTGCCATGCACCCGCTGCCCTCGGACGAGGAGTCCACGGTGACCGATCCTTCGCTCAGATGTGCCCAGTACGTGGGGCGTCTTGCAGCTGCTATTTTGCCCCTCTGGCCCCGCGCGGACGTGTCGGGAGTCGAGTGGCACTCACCTCAAGAGGAGGTTTTGCGTAAAGCCCCCACTTCCCACCCGTGGGTGTGGGGTGTGGATGGGCCCGCTTGCTGGCACCCAGCGTTTCTGGCAGTGCTCCCTCTGCTTGAGGACGGCGAGGGAAGCTTGCAATGCTGAGCCTCCCCCTGGTCGTTGCAGCGGTGAGCCGAGAGTCAACGTGCAGACTCTCCGCGATTTCCAGCACGAAGCTGGGTAGTCCATGCACGGGACCGCCAAAGTGCAAGAAGACGGGGCTTGACAGCAGGTGTCACCCTCGTTGCTGGAATCAGATATGTGAGGGCCTCCACCCCAAGGAGAGTGGAGTCACCCCCTTGCAATACACTATCAGTTTGCTTCTGGCATGCAGCACAGCGGTCGTGCTCAAAAAAAAAACCTCGATCCTCGTCTTCCTTCTCCTCCTCCTCCTCCTCCTCCTCCTCCTCCTTCTCCTCCTCCTCCCCCTTATCCCAGGAGGTTCCTGGGGGTCCTCCACTCCGACGTGCCCCCCCCCTCCCGAGCGGCCCCCGCGGCAGGTAGACTCGGACCTCCACCGCGCCGGGGCCGCGGCGAGGTGCGGGTGCACCGCCACGGCTGCGTTGGCGCACCGGCCCCGCGGGGGGGGGGTCGATTTGAGGGCTTTGCACCAGGGGTCCCAGACGTCGCCTCCACAGGCGGTTGCGCAGCGCTTTCGGGACAGCGGGGGCGGACTCAGGGGAGGCCAAACCTACCCAGAACAGACGTACCTTGGAGAGGTGGCATCGGGACCCACGAGACGCCCAACGGTCGCGTTTTACACCCACCGTGGCTGGAACCGTGTGGCCGCTGCGGCACCTCACTGGAGCGGACGAGGATCAGCGACGCGCAGAGGAGGGTAGGAGGAGGGGGGAAGGCGTCTTAGAAGGTGGCTGCTTCGTAGAAGGCGCGGGCCTTGTCTGTAGATGTAGGGCCAGCGCCTTGTAAGAAGCAGCCTTCTTCTAAGAAGCCTTCCCCCTCCCCCTTCCCCCTTGTGCGCGCCGCCAAGTATATTCAGGAGGGAAAAAACACAGACACAATTCATCGTCGATTCCCAGGAAGATATGGGAAAATATGGGAAGTGGGGGGGGAAGACAGAAACCCAAAAAAGTATGTGAAAATATTGGGAATCTGTTTATTTGTGTGTATTTATTTGTGTGTCCTGGGGCCCCTTCATATATAGTCCCGCCTCGCAAGAACCTCCCCCCGAGGAGACGTCACTCTGGAGAGTGCACTCTGGGCCGCAGTTGACGCATCGAGTCGATGAACCGAGCCGACGCGCCGAGTTGACGCACCGAGTTGGCGTCCCGATGCGAGTCGACGAACCATGCTGCCGCACATAGGTGACATGCCGATCGTTGTTGACGCGGGGGGTGCTGGAGCGTCCACGAGTTGCTCCAGACTGGCCTGGAGGTATCTGTGAATGTGTCCCGGTGTATCCAGAGTTTCCTCGACCTCTCTGGACTTACCCTCGCTTATTTAGCGCAATCCCCGAAGGTCGATATGATATAAAACACATGTTTTTTTTACAAAAAAAAAAAAACAAAAAAAAAAACGCGAAGGCCTTAGGGGAGGGGGGAGGAAGTGCGGCAGGGCTCTCCCCTCGGCCTGGGCTGCCCAGACTTCTGAGGCGGGGACGACGGCGTCGATAACGGCGCAAACGAAGACGGCTTCGACGTCGACGTCGTCGTTTCGAGGCTTCCGAAGGTCTATGTCTATGCCCAGGCGGCGGCTATGGAGAAGCTTATGCCTCTCGCCGACTGAGTCGGAGCAGACGAGGTCAGAGGATGGCGCCGCGTCGCCGATGCATGGGCGGTGCGGGGCGATCCACAGCCCGATCTTCTCCGTCGTGGCGTCGCCTATGCTTCTGCGAGGCGAGGTTATCCTCATGCCCCTTGTTAGTAGCCTCTTTCTGGCCAGGGGCGTCGTCGCCGTCACCACCCAGGAGTCGAGAGGGAGGATCGAGGATCCATGCTTTTGTTCGCGTTTGGTTCCTGATGAGTCTCCTGCTGGGGTCCGGTGTCGCAACGGCTGGGTTCGACTCGAGTTTCAAGTCAGGACGCGCTCTAAAACAAGTGTTAGGGCTGATTTTGAGGCTTTTGAAGCTTTGGGCGAGAGTGCGAAGATGATCATCGTGGCATTCCTGATCGGCGCAGCCGCCCTGATCCACCTTGCCGCCGCCGCCATGGTCATCCTCGCCGTCGTCACCCCCATCGCCGTTGCCGACGCCTCCGCAGAAAGGACGTTGCAGGCCTACTTCGGGCCCAGGATCCACACACGTACATAAATCCAAGACGCTAAAATAAGGAACAGTTCGGTTTCGGCTGGGGTTCAAAGTTCATTGGGTCCATGAATGGCTGTTCCTCCAGTGCTCCTGGTGCGCCCAGGCCCTTTGGGGCAAACAATGGGGCTTCGCTCCTTTTTCCGCGTTCCTTGAGGTAGTAGTTTGACTGTACCCTCCTGAGCCACGCCAAGAGGGGCACATAATTGAACAAGTCCTGGTCCCGAGCTCATCCTGGACTGGCCTGGTGGTGGTGTAGGCTTGTTCCCAACCATCCAGTGGTGTTGGGACTTCGTTTTGGAGAGACAGCGCCCCGCGTTCCTTCCTTCCTCCTCGCCCTCCTCCCCCCTCCCCCTGCTTGCCTCTACCCTCCGCGCCAGCCAACCATTTCGGGATACCCCTCGCACGTTTCATGGCCTCGTGAGGAGCTCCAGAGGCCCCAGTGGCTGCGTCCGCATGCGTCCGCGCGACCCATTTCGGCACATCCCTCACACGTTTCGTGGCCCCATGGCGAGCTCCACCGAAGGCTCCAGTGGCTGCGCTCGCACGCTCCCGCCGCACCCATTTCGGCATACCCCTCACACCGCCCGTGGCCCCATCTGGAGCTCCACCGAAGGCCCCAGGGGATGTGCTTGCACGCGCCCGTCGCACCCATTTCGGCACACTCTTCACACGTTTCGTGGCCCCACGGGGAGTTCCACCGAAGGCCCCAGTGCCTGCGTTCGCATAAGCCCGCCGCACTCAGTTCGGCGCACCACTTACACGTTTCGTGGCCCCATATGGAGCTCCCCCGAAGGCCCCAGTGGCTGCGCTCGCATGCGTCCGCGCGACTCATTCCGGCACACCCATCACACGTTCCGTGGCCCCGCAGGGAGCTCCACTGATGCCAGTGCATATTCACAAATGCGTTACTCACACGTGCATATGGTTGGGTCCTTAGCCAGGCTTATGTTTCTTTATGTCGTCGGCGGCAACCTCGCCGGCGTCGTCGTTAGCTTCGTCGTCGAGGGAGACACACGGGAGGAGGAGGAGGAGGAGGAGGAGGAGGAGGAGGAGGAGGATCAGGAGCAGGAGCAGGAGCAGGAGCAGGAGGAGGAGAAAGATGAGTGTAAGAGGTATCACGGGGGGTCTCTGAAGGGAGGAGTCGGTGCACGAAAAGGAGGAGGAGGAGACGGAGGAGGGCCACCTGCCTCCTGCTCACTCGGCCGTGCTCTTCCTCGTTCCGCGCGGAGGCAGGCGGGCACGCGGAGGTGGGGTATTCGGGGGTGGCTGGGTTGACCAGCGCAGTTCAGCCCAATTGCGAGCGGTGTTGCGTTTGTGGTGAGGGGCTGGGTCCTTCTCGGCGGCGAAATCCGAACCCTACCCTCGCCGAACAACCATTCGGGCAACTCGATGGGCTACGGGGGTAGGTTTTGGAATTCGTCGAACACGTGACGAAGTCCGAACCCTACCCCCGCCTCCCATCGATTCAGAAATCCGATGGTTGGTGGGGTAGGGTTCGGATGTCGCCATCTACTTTCGTTCATGCGATAGTGTGGGGAATGCGTGGGCAGTTCTGGAAGCCCGCAGGTCCGAAGACGCAACGTAAAATTGACACCCTAGACATACCGGGATGCCCTGCTGGCGGGGCGCACAAAAATGCTCGGACCAGTTTCAGCGTGGTGCCGGCTGCGTTACTTGTTTGTTATTGGGTGGTGCCTCGCGGCTCAAGCTTGGTTTACGCGTTTCGTTCGGCTTACAGTTTAATGTGCAGGATACTTGCGATGGGTGCGGTTTGAATTATTCGACGTGTTGGTGGATACGTATTCGGTGGGTTATGTTTGTGTTGTTCTTCAAGCTGTGAGCCAGTTGTTTGTGCCACCGAACGGCACAGTCGGAGCCTAGTGGTTGATCCTGCTATCCAAAGAGAAGGAGGACCGTGCCGGACAGCAGTGCGATTTCCTCGATCCCACCGCCTCTGCATGTGCATTGCAGCCCAAGGTCGAGTTTCTCGTGTGCTTGAGCATTATCGGGGGTGTAAGACTATGCCATTCGCGCTTGTCTTCGTCCCTCATCATTCTGCTTGCTGTACTCCTCTCTCTCTCCTCGTGCTCCTCGTACTCCAAGCTTCCACGGAATTCGACCGTCGAGGGCTCCAGCCTGGGTAGTTCCCTGGGGCCTGCAGGCTGCCTGGCGGTGCATTTCTGCCACCTTCTCGCGCTCCGCCCCCTCTCCACTTATCAAGAGGAGTGGGAGGATGGGAAAATGAGAGATAGGTGAGGAGGACAAGAGAAAGGAGGAGGAGGAGGAGGAGGAGGAGGAGGGGGAGGAGGACAAGAGAGAGGAGGAGGAGGAGGAGGAGGAGGAGGAGGAAGAGGAGGAGGAGGAGGACACGAGAAAGGAGGAGGAGGAGGAAGAGGAAAAGGAGGAGGAAGGACGATGAGGAGGAAGGACGAGGAGGAGGAGGAGGAGGAGGAGTTGACTGCGAATGTGGATGAGGCGGGAGGGTGTGGAGGAGGGGAGGAAGAAAGTGAGCAGGCGGAGGAGGACCAGGATCAGCAGGAGGAGGAGGCGGGACGAGGAGGGAGGGAGGGAGGAGGAGGTGGAGGAGCAGGAGGAGGTGTGCAAGGGGAGGGGAGAAAGAGACGGGCTCCCCTGAGAAAGAGGGCAGGGCTGATGGTGAGCTCACCCTGTACGTGGCCAACGTCGGGGACCCCGCGCCCCGCCAGCACACGTTGCAGAGGAGGAGGGAGGGAGAGCAACGGAGGCGGAGGCGGAGGAGGAGGACCAGTGCAAACCCAAGGACCGTCAACGATATTGTAATAAACCCTGCCTCCAAGTTCCCTCTTCATAGGCCTCTACAAGGATGCATGTTTACTATGGGAAGTACCCTGTTGAAAGACAACCGCTTGAAAATCATCATGTGTGCCAGAAAACCATTCCTGGGACTTCGACGCCGCTGGTCACCGCGAGTGGTGCGTCTTCACGACCTTGAATCGTGCCAAAACATCATTCCTGGGATGTCAAGACCGCGAATCCACGTGACTGGTTGTGCCCTGACATTCCGACATCGTGCCAAAACACAAGTTCGACGTTGTCGCACATTCATTAAACATATACGCAGCGCTAAGGCGAAAGCCAAAGTTTCAAAAGACATCGCCCTCCACCTGTGAAACTCTTGCACACTTGTTAGGCGGACGTGCGCGGCGCTATGGCGAGAGCCACATTTGACCATGTCCCGCCCTCCACCCGTGAAATACGTAGCACCCCGCAATTGCGGATAAGAGTGAGGGGGCGGGCGCGGGCGACGCGGGCGTCGTCGAGCCGGCGGACCTCGTGGCCCCCACCTTCCCTGTCAATGGCGCTCTCCTCCTCCTCCTCCTCCTCCTCCTCCTCCTCCTCGTCCTCGTCCTCGTCCTCATCGTCATCGTCATCCTCCTCCACCTCGTCCTCCTCCTCCTCCTCTTCATCCTCGTCCTCCCTCTCCCCCCCTCGTCCTTTCATCATCGTCCTCCCCCTCATCGGCCTCCCCCTCATCGGCCTCCATCATCGTCCTCCCAGCTTTGGGTTGTTCAGTCAACGTGGTTTAGGTCGCGGGTGGGTCGCGGGCTCTCCACCTCCACCTGGAAGGAATGCAAAAGCAGCCCGCCGCAGGCGCCAAAAAAATCGGTTTGTACACTGAACGTGGTTTGGGTCGCGGGTGGGCCGCGGGTTCTCCACCGGGAACGAATGCAAAAGATGCCCGCCGCAGGCGCCGAAAAATGTGGTTTGTACCCTGAACGTGGTCGCGGGTGGGCCGCGGGCTCTCCACCTGAAACGAATGCAAAAGATGCCCGCCGCAGGCGCCGAAAAATGTGGTTTGTACCCTGAACGTGGTTTGGGTCGCGGGTTGGTCGCGAGTTGGTCACGGGATGTGTCGCGGGCTCTCCACTTGGAAGGAATGCAAAAAAGCCCGCCGCAGGCGCCGAAAATTGTGGTTTGTACCTTGAACGTGGTTTGGGTCGAAGGTGGGTCGCGGGTGGGTCGCGGGGTAGGTCGCGGGTGGGTCGCGGGTGGGTCGCGGGTGGGTCGCGGGTGGGTCGCGGGTGGGTCGCGGGTGGGTCGCGGGTGGGTCGCGGGTGGGTCGCGGGTGGGTCGCGGGTGGGTCGCGGGGTGGGCCGCGGGGGGGTCGCGGGGTGGGTCGCGGGTTGGGTCGCGGGGTGGGTCGCGGGGTGGGTCGCGGGGTGGGTCGCGGGGTGGGTCGCGGGTGGGTCGCGGGTGGGTCGCGGGGTGGGTCGCGGGGTGGGTCGTGGGGTGGGTCGCGGGTGGGTCGCGGGTGGGTCGCGGGTGGGTCGCGGGGGGTCGCGGGGTGGGTCGCGGGTGGGTCGCGGGTGGGTCGCGGGCGCGGGCGGGGTGGGTCGCGGGGTGGGTCGCGGGTGGGTCGCGGGGCGGGTTGCGGGTGGGACGACGACAACAAACAACAACAACAACAACAACAACAACAACAACAACAACAACAACAACAACAATCACTTTACCCGAACGCTCAGTGTTCTCACCAGTGCCAGGGTTTTCATGCGACGCCAGCCAATACCCCCACTTTGTGGGGGGGCATGCAAGCTCTACCAAATATCCACACGACTCTTCGCCACCACCCACACCCAGCTTCCCGCCCTATGACGTTCGGACACTTCACTTCGTGGCCTGCGGACGACCGTGGCTACTACACTGGCGTGGAGTACACCCCACAGAAGTTGTTAAGCCTACGTTCGTACACCCACAGAAGTTGTTAAGCCTTGTTAACCCACAGAAGTTGTTAAGCCTTCACAGAACATCTGTTGCATATGATGCATATGGTACATGTGGGCGGGTGGAAATTTTGAAAAGTCGTGCAGGTGTTTTTCGAGGACCTACGGTGCGATTCGTGTGATTTTATGATGCGCGGTGCTAAAATTCTTAAGAACCCAATGGTTTTTGGAGATTTCGGCGTGCGCGCGCGAAGAAAAAACGAATGTGTCCCGCATGGTATTATTTGACAGGGATGATGGCCCTGGCAGGTGCGCAACCGTTGTCGCAGAAGTTCGAAAAAGTTGCTCGCAAAAGCCCGTTTGACAGAAATGTTTAAAAAGTGTTGGGTTTCCTACGAATCCGCAAGAGCGCGCGGGATGAGATTTTGACATTTTTTTGTTGAAAAACCATTGGTTTTTTGATGTTTTTATGTTAAAATCGCTCCGAACACTAAGCTTTTGGAAGGATTTCGTCTTGCGCGCGCGAATGTCCACTTTACCTTATTTTTTGCAAGGGATTCTTGAAATTTGATTATATTAGAACAAGAAATGTCATTTTATAGTGTTTTTTGCAAGGGAAAGCGGATTACAACAAAACAACCGGATCTTGATCACATCGTTTTACCTGAGGCTTCCTCACGAAAATGATGAAAATGTAGCTGCGGCCTAGGCGGCGCAGGGGGGGCGTGCACCAGGGGCCCCAACAATAATTATTCTTTAGAATAAATAATGTTCAACAACAACAACAACAACAACAACAACAACAACAACAACAACAACAACAACAACAACAACAACAACAACAACAACAATTACTAGCACGTGGGGACACTCCGTTCTCACCAGTGCCAGGGTTTTCATAGGAGGCGGGCAATACCCCCACTTTGTGGGGGGGCCGGTTCAAGCTCTACCAAATTTCCAAACGACTCTTCGCCACCACCCACACCCAGCTTCCCGCCCTATGACGTTCGGACACTTCACTTCGTGGCATGCGGACGACCGTGGCTACTATTCAGGGCCCCGCGGCCGACGACGACGGCGTGCGCGCGCGAAGAAAAAACGAATGTGTCCCGCATGGTATTATTTGACAGGGATGATGGCCCTGGCAGGTGCGCAACCGTTGTCGCAGAAGTTCGAAAAAGTTGCTCGCAAAAGCCCGTTTGACAGAAATGTTTAAAAAGTGTTGGGTTTCCTACGAATCCGCAAGAGCGCGCGGGATGAGATTTTGACATTTTTTTGTTGAAAAACCATTGGTTTTTTGATGTTTTTATGTTAAAATCGCTCCGAACACTAAGCTTTTGGAAGGATTTCGTCTTGCGCGCGCGAATGTCCACTTTACCTTATTTTTTGCAAGGGATTCTTGAAATTTGATTATATTAGAACAAGAAATGTCATTTTATAGTGTTTTTTGCAAGGGAAAACGGATTACAACAAAACAACCGGATCTGGATCACATCGTTTTACCTGAGGCTTCCTCACGAAAATGATGAAAACGTGGCTGCGGCCTAGGCGCGGCGGGGGGGGCGTGCACCAGGGGGCCCAACAATAATTATTCTTTAGAAGTAATAATATTCAACAACAACAACAACAACAACAACAACGAGAATCCGCACCGCGGAATTCCACTTCAGCCACGCACCCAGGGACAGTGAATGACCGTTCGGCCCCCTCACTCTGATGTTTGCACTTTTGCGAACGCTTAAGACGGATGCGCGCGGCGCAAAGGCGAGAGCCGCATTTTGAAAGCCGCCCGCCTTCCATCTGTGCGGGGAAGTCGCAGGCGAAACGCCTGGCCTGCCTTTTCGACCGGCCTCGGGGTGCGACAGGGACAAGTTGTTTACAAGGAAAAGAAATTGAGGAGGGTGGGCAGGAGGAAGACGGGCAGGGGAGGGCGCGGGAGAAGGCTGAGGTGGGGAGGAGGGAAGCGGGGGGAGAGGGGCCCATAGAGACAACAGGGTGTGATCTTTCCTTCAGAGGAGCGGAAGTCGGGAGGGCAGGAGGGAGGAGGAGGAGGAGGAGAAGGAGGAGGACCAGTGCAAGCACAAGGATCATCAACGATATCGCAGTAAACCCGTCCTACAAGCTCCCTCTTCATAGGCCTACATGGATGCATGTTCGCTGTGGGAGGTGCCCCGTTGGAAGACAACCGCTTGAAAATCCGGAGCTGTGCCAGGAGGAGGATGAGGAGGAAAATGATTATTTGGGCCGTCTTGGGGGGGGTCTGGGGGCCTCCTAGGATCTGTTTGCCAGCTTGTTGGGGGCCTCTTGGCGATCTCATGGGGCCTCTTGGGGGCCTCTTGGGGGCCTCCTGGGCCGTCTTAGGGGGTGGCTTGTCTGACTTTTGTGGAGGCAGCCTTGGTGGTCTCGCCAGGCCGCTTCGGTGCCTTCTTGGAGCAGTTCACGGCCGTCTTGAAGCCCTGTATGGAGCCCGTTGGGCGATCTTTGGGTCCTCTTCGGCTTCGGGCTGTTTGGGGGGCCTCTTGGGTTCTCTTGGAGCTGTCCTGGAGCCTCCTGGAGACTTCTTGGGCTGCGTGGGCGGCCGAAAACCCGAACAGGTGAGAGCCTCAAAACCTTCCCACAACCTAAAGCCAATCACTGGTGTGGGCCTCTTCGGGCTCGCCAGTACAGCCTATTGGACACCTGTTGGGCCGTCTCGGGGGGTCACTGAGGCTGTATCGCGAGCCTATTGAGCCATTTTCGGCCATCTTGGCGTCATCTTGGATTCCTTCAACACCGTCCTGGAGTTCATGAGGCTCCAATGGCGCCTCCACACAGATCAAGAGGTCCCCAAGATCGCCTAAGAGGTTTCCAAGAGGCCCTCCAGGAGAGCCAGGGGAGGCCAACACCATTGATATTCCATAGGTGTTGGCGGATTTTGAGGTTCTGGCATGCTTGGGTATCCGACCGCCCAAGACAGCCCAAGAGGCCTCTCTGGGCCGCTTTGCTGCTTTTTTGGAGCGCTTCAAGGCCGTCGTGGGACCTCTCCAGGAGCTCCTTGGGCGATCTTTGTGTCCTCTTGGGCCGACTGGGGGGCTTCTTGGGACGTCATGGAGCTTTCGTTGGTCGGAGACTCGAACAGGCGAGAACTTCAAACTCCTTCCAACACCGAAGGAGAATCAATGGTATGAGCCCCCTCGGGCTCTCCAGGAAGGCCAGTTGGAGTTTTCTCGGGCCGTCTTGGAGGCCTCTTGGGCCGTTTTGGGGCTATCTTGAGCCGTCTTGAGGCTCTCTTGGGAGGTTCTTGAATTGTATTGGGCCATATTGAGCCGTCGTGTTGTCGTCTTGGTTGTCTTGGATGCCGTCTTGGAGACCATCTTGGCCGTCTGGGGGCCGAACAAAAACGCCTAAAAGAAATTCCAGAGGGGACGATGTTCGAACCACGCGTGCCGTGAGGGGGGGGCCAGAAAATGTCAGAAACCTTCCAGACAACAGACGAGCATTCTAACACGCCCACTCCGTGCAGGCACGGTGGCAGATGGTGGTCTTGCCTTGCTCCAGCGGGTTTGGTTTTTTGCATGTGCCGCAGATGCGGCTTCCGTTTTCTCAAGGCAGTGTTCGCGAAAACGGAAAACGGGACTGTCGAAGGCGTGTAATAAGTTGCTTCTGGCCACGGCAAGTCGAATCTCAATAGCGCTTTGCAAGGTAAGCGCCTTCGCCGCTCTGAGTTGTTCACTGGCGCGCCCGAGGACCTCCCCTCGGCCCCGATCTCCGCCTGGCGGCCTCCCTCGGTTTTTGAGGAGGCAGCCACGGAAGGGTGCCCGCGAGTCGACGCACTTGCTTCGCTGGCAGGCGCTGCTGCTGATGTGCCGTCGGAGTCAGGACATGACCGACTAGATCAGCAACAAGTTCTCTGCCACTGTATCCGCGTGCTCGTGCCTCTTGATTCTTGGGCAGCGTGCGCCTGAAGTGTGCGTCCCGTGGATGCGGGGTGGTGGTTCCTCCGTGGTCAGTATCTCGGGGCGTTGCTGGGTTCAGTGTGAGCCATCTCCCTTCCTGGCTAGTTTTGGTCTTGCCTCTTGTCAGCTCACGTGGTGTGTTCTGTCACAGTTGGCCCCACTGAGGCGTGCCTCAGTGTAGCAAGCAAGGTTGTCGAATGGCCCGACCAGATAGTACGTGGGAGCATCTGCCCCAGTACCCTGGAGGTGCCGATCAAAAGTTGACATTCAAAACGGCCTCGGTCCCGGCAGCCCGATGTAGGTTCATGCAGAGGTCGTCGTTACTTCCGTTCTTGGTCGTTCTCCCTCCCTCTCTCAGTCCTCCTGCTGCCGCGGTTGCCCTCCTGTGAGGGGTGGGTTGGAGGGGGGGGACGAGGTGGAGGAGGAGGCTTGCTAAGGGCTTAACAGCTTATGTGTTCCCTGGTCTCGCGCTTAAGCTTCCAAGGTCTCTCCTGGTCCGTTCGGATATCGCTGGGTCAGCCTCGGTCTTTTTGAGTTCGCACCGAATTGGGCAAGCCTGCCTCGACGTACGTGGCCTTCGCCCCGCATGTCTAACTACTGCAGAAGGGTTGTCCAGCTCTGAGGAAGAGGATCGGCGGCGCACCGAGGGTGGAATCGAGAGAGAGAGAGGGGGGGGCATGCCCTCTCAGAAGGGGGCGGGGCTCCCTCGGCAGCCCTCCATGAGAAGCCCCCCCCCCTTCGGCTCCAGAGAAGGCTCCAGAGGCTCCTCGGCAGGCCGGACGTCTTCTGAGCCCTCTGAGGGCTTGGCATCGCTCGGACGTGTGAATTTTTTCGTGGCGCGAACCATCGAGGAGCATCCTGGACCATCGAGCAAACAACAAAAAAAACAAACCGAAAAATGCACGGGGAATGGACGTCCGAGCGACGGCAAGAGGTGGCCCGCCCCCTCCCCGCCCGCCTCCACAGGGCGCGGCGCCGAGACGAGGAGGGGTCCCTCTGGATCTGGCGCTCGCGCACCCATCTGGGCCGCGGCCGGGCGCAGGACTCGCGTGCCGTGATCATCGGCGACGGCGACGCCAAGCGGGTCCCGCCGCCTCCGCCCGTGCGCGTCCCCTTCCTCCCTCCCCTCTCTTCCCTCTTCCCTCCCCCCTTCCCACCTCCCTCTCCTCTCCGAGTCTCCCCTCCCCCTCGCGATTCTCGCTCCTTCCCTCCCTCCCTCCCTCCCTCTCCGATTCTCGTTCTTCCTTCACCGTTCCGGGGGGGAGACCATAGCTAAGCAAGAAGCAGGCAGGGGTGGATGAGAGGGACAGTAGCAGGGAGGGAGCGGAGGCACGTGGCCATTGCGTTTGTGTTTCGAGTGTCCGCAGTTGGTTGAAATGTGGAAGTTGCTTGCGACCCCGCCCTTGCAAGTCTGCTGTTCACAAAGAGCGTCTTGGGGGCCACAGGTGCTTTCTTTGGGGGCCTTTGGGGGGCTTGCTGGCGGTCTCGGGGGCTATCTTTGGCGGAACGGATCAACTGTCAGTTCGGGCTCCCCTCTTGGGAGCCTCTTGGGCTCTCGTGGAAGGCCTCTTGAGCCATCTTGAGGCCGCGTTAAGCTGTTCGGGGGCCCTCTGGGGGCTTCTTGGGTTGTCTTGGGCCGATTTGCGGCATCTTGAAGCGTCGTGGGCGATGGGAAATCAGACAAAGCGAAAGCGCTATAACACGTCAAGACCCAAGAACAATCGTCGAACGTTGCAGCTTAAGGCTCGCTTGGAGGTCCTCTTGGAGCGTCTTGGAAACTGATGTGGCCATCTTGAGGGCACGCAGGGCCGTCTCGTAGCACTCTTGGGCCGATCCAGGCCCGTCTTGAACAGCCTCCGACCAAAGTTGCCGAAAAGCGGCCAAATTGGCCAGAAGATTACGTACCTTGGCATCGCTCGGACGTGGGCATTGTTTCTCGGCGAGAACCATCGAGGAGCATCCTGGACCATCGAGCAAAAAGAAACATGCACGAAACCGAAAAATGCACAGGAAATGGACGTCCGAGCGACGGCAAGTTACACGAAGGGAGAGGGGGGACTGTATTCTGACCGGGGACCCACTCGAGGACCCCCACCTGGGACCCGAGATAAGGTTCTATTGTGGCCAGGTGGGCTTTTGTGCGGGCCCGGTGGGCTTTAGTACAGCCAGGGATGATCCGGAGTATATGAGTCCATGAGAACGGTGAAGCGGGGCAGGTCTTGGAGCCTCTGCAGAGCTTTTTGGGGCCTCCGAAAAGCTTCTTGGGCCCCCTGAAGAGCCTCTTCGTGGGCCCCCCTGAAGAGCCTCTTGGACCCCCTGAAGAGCTGCTTGGGGCCTCTGAAGAGCCTCTTGGGCCCCCTGAAGAGCTTCTGAAGAGCCCCTGTAGACGGAACCCTTGCTCCACTGCGTCCCTCGGGGGGATGGGGCTCCGCGCACAGGGCTGGATGAGGCGAATGAGGAGGAGGGTCAAGAGGATGAGGACGAGCATGATGTTGGTGCTGATGCCGATCCTATTGATGATGCTGATGACGATGATGATGATGCTGATGCTGATGATGATGCTGATGATGATGATGATGATGATGATGATGATGATGATGATGCTGATGCTGATGATGATGATGATGATGATTATGGTTATGATGATGATGATGAGATGATGATGATGATGATGATGATGATGATGATGCTCATCATGATGATGATGATGACGATTTCAATGATGCTGATGATGATGATGATGATGCTGATGCTGATGCTGATGCTGATGATCACGATGCTGATGTTGCTGATGATGAGGCTGATGGTGCCGATGCTGATGCTGAAGCTGAAGATGATGATTCGGAGGACGACGACAATGTCGATGACGACGACGACGAGGATGATGATGCTGATGGATGATGATGGTAGTGGTGGTGGTGACGACGACGAAGACGATGTGATGATGATGATGACGATGATGATGATGCTGATGGTGATGATGATGACGACGATGATGATGATGACGATGCTGATGATGATGATGATGATGATGATGATGATGATGATGATGATGATGATGAAGAAGATGATGTGTACGACTCCGATTTCGATGATGACGACGATGATGCCGATAACGATAACTACTTGATGATGACGAAGACGAGGAGGAGGAGGAGGAAGAGGAGGAGGAGGAGGAGGAGGAGGAGAAGGAGGAGGAGGAGGAGGAGGAGGAGGGGGAGGTGGAGGGGGAGGGGGAGGGGGAGGGGAGGGGAGGAGGACTAGGCTGAAGGCGAGGACGAGGACGGCGACGAGGAGGAAACGGCAGCAGGAGGCAGGAGGAGGAGGAGGAGGCAGGAAGATGTAATGGTGGATGATGTCGAGGATGCGAGGAGGAGGAGGAGGAGGAGGAGGAGGCAGGAGGATCAAGCAGCAGGAGGGGCCGACATAAAGGTAGGCAGTAGGAGGAGCTAACAGGAAATGATGCAGAGGACAGGAGGAACGATGAACAACGAGGAGGAGGAGGAGGAGGAGCGGGACAAGGTAGGAGTGAGGAGCCAGGAGAAGGAACATGGGGTCCAGGGTGATGATGACAAGGAAGAGGGGTGAAGGGAGATTACGCATGTCATGGTGACGAGTGCAAGACGAGGGGAGGAGGATCATGACGGGGAGGACGTGGATGACTATGATGATGATCGTGATGCTCAGGAGGACGATTGTTTCGAGCCCGTTTTTCGCACCTATTTTCCAGCGCTGCACACTCCCTCCGATATGCAGCTGGGCTTCTCACGTTGCTTCAAAAGCTGCTTCTCTGAATGTTATATTGCAGATTGGCACAACTACTATTAGATTACTTCCAACGCGCTTCCAGATTGTCGTTTGTGCGGCCACTCTCTGTTGGACGGGAACGCAAGCCCCGAAGGGTTGCCAGGACTTCCAGAGCTAAGGAAGGACACCTTTACATATTACTGTTAATTGAAGGGTCAGCGCGGGCCGCAGTAAGACCCACCTGGCCGCGCGCCGGGCCGCACAAGAACCCAACGGGCCGCACAAAAAAGCTGCCGCACAAAAGACCAGTCGCCCAGGGACCCCCCCTTGGGCGGGAAAGGGGAGAAAGGGAAAGGGTTCCTTTCGATTCGGTTATGAACTCGATTGCGCGATTCACGTCGAGTTGACGAGCTTGGCGAATGAAACATCGGGTCGCAGGAACACCCCAACACAATGAAGCCAAAACTTCTCGTTTGCACACTCCAACAGGGCCGGTGGATTTCAGCATCCATCGTTGACGCAGAATGGTCCTCCATTAACTATCCTTTTTCTCATCCTCGCGCTCCTCCTCCTCTTCCTCCTCCTCCTCCTCGCCCGACATTTTCCTCGACCCCCCTCCTCCAGTGCGTCGGCCTCATCATCCTCTTCCCCCCTCCTCTCCGTCTCCTTCCTCCTCGCTTTCTCCCTCCTTCATGTCCACGCCCCCCTCATCCATGTCCTTGAAGCTTTGCGAAGCACATCCGCTTCGCAACAAGATTTGGATAGATGGTTTATCCCAGCGCCCGGTTGGGTCTCGGCCTCACGTCAGACAGTCAGACAGACGTACGCGAGTGCAGACGGCTTCATTTGGGCATCGCAGACAAGGGTGTCATCATTTGCTCCCACTGCGCTTATTCAGTAGCAGTTGTGCGGACATTGTGACGCTAGGGTATCACTTTGCAAGCGGCCCTGCTTATTGAGGTGTGGACCTGAGTGGCGGACGTAGGCATCGGCGTGCCACGGTCATCGGTTTCGGTGATTCGCACAAGCTGCGCGCCGCTGGTACACCATAGGCAAGATTCAGAGAGCTGGTCCACAGGCCTCGGCGTTGTACGGACATCAGATACATAGTCAGTTTGGGAGTGCTATGTTATCTCACCGGCGTCGTCTCGGGGCTGCCGCTGGGTCGTCAAAACGTGGTCGATGTCTGACTGCGTCACTTTCTTTGCGGCTGATTGGGGCCGACCCAGGTGCTCTTCTCCCTCGGCAATTCGTGCAGCAGTGGTTGAAAGTCTGGCTGGCCAAGCCTAGGCTGCGCCACGGCATCTGCAAAGCTTGGCCGCTCACCAAGTCTGCGAGTTTGTCGGTCTGGATCAAGCGGCACCGCTCTGACGGGAACTGGAGGGAACTTTTCAGCTACAGTATTGGGAGCAGGCTGCTGATTTGTTGTGTGGCTCTGGATTGGAGGGCGGAGCTGACATGATATCCCTTCGAAAAATGGTCTATGATCTCACATTCGCGAAACGAGGCCAGCTGTTATCCGAATTGGTGGTGAAGACAACCGTGGGTGGATATTTGCCCAGTGATCGTTGCTTCGAAGCGGGACTGGTTACTAGTAACAGCTGCGTTCGCTGTCGCGACGCTCCCGACACTGCGCTGCACAGGTGTTGGTTTTGTTCGGAAAATGAAGGGTCGAGAGCGTACGATGATTCACAGGAGCTGGTAAGCAAGGCTACTGCCGAGTCTGAGTCCGCCGCCTGTTTCTGGATGAGGGGGTCTGGGGACGGGGGCTCGCTCGTAGGAGGCTCGGCTGACCCCGCCTGCCTTGGTCACGGGTCCGTCGACGACCCCTATATGATGAGCCCTAGGTTCTGTAGGGTACGCTTGACCGTCGCTGTGTATTCCAGCTTCGCTCCGCTAGTCTTGGGGCCGCACATGTTGGACTTGTTGTAGGACCCCGGCAGACCGTGCCCCGCGGGAAGCTTCAGGCTCTTGTTGTGGGCGTTTCTGTTTTCCACTGGTTGCGTGATTGATGTAACCGACTGCACGGAAGTCGCGAAAGGTTGGCACGTTGATTTGTGTTAGACAGCTTTTTGGTGAAAAACCCGACATCTGGCGTGGCATCGGCGACTGCCTCACCCAGCAAGGTATCGGCATCCCCCCAACATACTTATACTATGTGTTCGTCGCCCCCCCAGGGGCGACGCGCGCACCGAGAAATCTTGTAGTATATGCGTCGTGGCGGGCGCTTTCTGGCCACACCGCTCGGGAAACGATATACTACAAGATGGGTATACTATATGTTCGGGTCGGACGCGCGCCTCCAAGGAGGACATATAGTACTAGTATGTCCATGTGCGTCCCAAGGTAGGCTCCCTGCAGTTGTCACGATCATGTAGGTGCTAGCTCACTTGTGTGGAGAAGAGAATCTTCGCAGGCGTTTCGAGTTGGTTGCTCTGTGGTAATTCGTGCGGCGATGTGTTAGCTGGGGAGGCCGCGCTTCGTTTGAGGGTGTCTCGGGAACATCGAACTCGGGTGCACGCCATCGAACTTACTGCTAGGCCCGTGCGTAGGAGGCTGCGTCAGGTCGCCGCTGGCTCGATCCGAGCCGCTCAGTGCGTGCCGCGGCTCCGCTGCCACAGATGCCTTGCACGGATGGTTGAAAAGTCCATGCTTCCAATTCGCCAGTGTTCCCGGTGCGTTGCGCAGTGTTCCCAGAGGGTGTAGCTTACATCTCGCAGGTGGTTGGACGCACCCCTCCCACAATCTTCTGTATCACATTGATCTTGGAATTCGGTTTTGTGCCATGTGCGGTGTTTGCGGGCAGCACCAACTCAGGGAGCCGGGTGAAACGTGCACGAATCAGTTTTCTGAGACGAGACGCGAGTAACTTGACAGCATAGATCGCGATCTTTTTCCTAAGGCCTGAGTCCTGAAGCCTTCTTGGACCCAACGTGTCGGCGGAATCCTTGAATCCCTCTCTCCTCATTCTCCTCGCCCCCCTCCTCCCTCCTTGTAATCCTCCTCCTCGGCCCCACCTCCAATTCCATGTCCTCCTCTTCGTCCGACCACTATCTGTCCAAAATCCGACCGACCCAATGTTGTCCAAAGCAACTGTAAGAACGTCGTCGGCGTCGTAGTCGTCGACCACTTCCTCCTCGCCCCGAGAGGTCTCTGGAGCTCTCTGAAGCTCTCCGAGGTCCCCCGTAGCCTCCAGAGGCAGAGAAGGTACGCTCATAATGGTCGATCTTCATGGCCTCCCTCCCTCACTCCCTTTTTCGTCCCCAGTATCTCTCATCCTCCTGGTCTTTTTCTTCCTCCTCCTCCTCCTCCTCGTCCTCCTCCTCCCCCGCATCCTCCCTCGCATATCCTCATCATTCCACCCCTCCTTTGCATTCCTCCTCCTCCTCCTCCTCGTCCGACTTGCTCGTCATGCTCCCCCTGTTCCCTTTTTCCTCTTGTTCCATTCCCTTCTCCTCCTCATCCTCCTTACGCCCCATCCGTCATGTCGTTCTCCTCCGGGTCTGCTTTCTCCTCTTCCGTGCCCCCGCTCCTCCAGTTCGTCGGCTTCATTATCCTCATTCCCCCTCCTCTTCGTCTCCTCTTCCTCGTCCTCCTATCTTCCTCATCCTGGAATGAGGGAGGGCACGAGGAGGGAGGAGGAGGAGGAGGAGGAGGAGGACGAGGTGGAGGAGGAGGAGGTAGAAGAGGAAGCGGGAATGAGTGATGAGGACAGCGAAGGGAGCATGGAGGAGGCGAGAAGCAGGGGCACCCCTGCGGCCCGGGAGGTCTCCGTCGACCACCGCGCACGTTATCCCTCCGAAGCCAGGACGCGCCCGCGCGCGCGGCGCCCCCGCCCCCGAGTCCGGTGTCATCCCCTCCTGCTCCTCCTCCTGCTCCTCCTCCTCCTCCTCCTCCTCCTCCTCCTCCTCCTCTTGCGCCCTCCTCCTCCTTCGCCCCCCTCCTCCCCCTCCTCCTCTGGACCTCTGGTGGCAGACTCTCTCACGCTGGTGCGCACCGGCTGGAGCTTCCCAGGGCCGCATCATTGTTGTTCAGATCCTGGAGTATGCTGCGACCTCCTGTAGGTTTCACCTGCTGATATGAAGAATGTCCTGGAGGTTGGGATCAAGCGATGGCAGGTACAGAAGCTGACGGCGCACCTTCCTGTCCAGGAGCTTGTTTATGACGTCTGGGAGCGCGCCCTTCGCCTCGGACCTCGTGATCTACAGCCGGCGCCGCTTGGGCGCGTTGCGAGCGCTGTGGGCTGACCGCCTGCCGACCCCCGCTCACCGCTCAGCCTGGGCAAAGAAAGTTCAATGGCCTGTGCTGCTTGCTCTGCCCCAGTCGATTACCTCAGCCATGTCTGGCTAGATCGTCCTTCGTCGCTAGATCCCAGTGAGCAGCAGGCTGAGTGGGGTTTCGATGTTTTGTGGGAGCGCCACACTTCTCATCGGGAGGCCCTCCAATCTTTAGGCTGTAGGTCTCTTGCTGGTCCTGATTGGGACACCCTCTACCTTTATTACGGGCTCCCAAAGCTCTCTGTGCAGGTTCCGCAGGTGCCCGAGAGTGTTAAGCTGTGGAAGTGGGGGGTCGCTGGTGGTGAGTGGGTCCAGGTAAGTTCGGGGACTGAAGCGCTCAGGGTCCTGCGGCTCCCGAGGTCCGACGTGTCGGGTGGCCAATTGCGCAGCTTGATATGGACTTCAGCCCTCGCGTGCTCGTTTTGGCACCGTGTCTGGCCCCGCGTAAACTGGGCCGTGCGGAACGCACTGCTGCTGTGCAGGCCCACAGGGCCAATCCCGACTTGCTGGTTTAGGTTTCCGATCTCTTGTCTCTGGCCGAGGAAGGCCAGTCTTGGGACCCTGAGCTTGCCTGCGAATGCGTAAGTATGCCAGCGTGTGGCGTCCCCTGTGGCGCAAGCCACCAAGCGTAAGGTTAGTTCCCCGCCAGCAGTTGCGTGGACTCCTGCGCACCTCACTATCGAGGAAGCCGTGGAGCGCAGTGCAGATCTGGCTGCACATGTTGGAAATGTCTGGGTTGATTATTTCGCTAAGGTGGCCTCCTCGCGCACAACGATTGCCAACACACTGAAGGAGGCCATTGACTCCGTGTTAGCCTAGCCTATCGCCGCTCGACGTTGAACTTCATCTTGGGTTGCCGCCCGCATGATCCGCCAGAAGCGCTGGACTGGAAATTCGTCGCCGCCTGCTGGTGCAAGAGCGGATGCTTTGATCAGCCCTCGCGCAATGGCCACGAGCTTGCGTTGCACACTATGACGGGGGAGGTTCGGTGCACGCAGTGTTTAGTTGGGGCCCACACGGCTAGCACACTGGTTCACCTGTGCAGTGGACCCCAGGTGGGAAGATCAGGCTTAGCTCCAAGCTGCTGGTGAGGCCGCCCAGGATCTGGAAGCGGAGGCTGTGAAGGCCGCCGAGACGTTCATTGACTCGTTTGAGCCCGTTCCTCTGGTACCCGTGGCCCCTCGCGTCGATGTTAGCGGGGCGGCCTTCCAGGAAAGGCTCGAGGCCACGTTGTGGAGCGCCTTGATCGGGCTTATGTATGTTTTCTCATGCTGCCCCTGGGTGTGCCCCGTGCCCTCCCGGACCAGGGTCGCGGACCCTCGAAGGTCGCCCCACCCATGATATGGACTTCAGGACTTCGTCCGTCCGCGGGTACCCCGCTTTTGGTTATTGTCATCTTCCCTCGATTTTGTCTCTTGTTCGAGTCGAGTTCACGGGTGGTGGTGTAAGTGGTACCTGGTCATATGGAAAGCGTCGCCCGCTCTCCATACTATCTAGCTTGCCGTCGTTCGTGCCAGCGGACGACGTTTCAGTCGGTGCCCACCCTCCTCCTCCTCCTCCTCCTCCTCCCCTCCTCCTCCTCCTCCTCTTCCTCCTCCTCCTCCTCCTCCTCCTCCTCCTCCTCCTCCTCCTCTCTTCCTCCTTTTCCTCCTCCCTTCTACCTTGGGCAAACTCGGATCGACCAGGATGGATGGCAAACGGGCTGCGTAGTGCAAAGACGCAACGTTTTAGGCGTTGTGGCCTCATCCTCCTCCTCCTTGTTCGCCCCCTCTCACTCCTCGGATCATAGAGCAGCAGGCCAGTGGGTCTGTTGCCCCTTGGCCGCCCCTGACCTCAGCGTCGGCGCAGGCCAGGCAGCCGCCGGAGTGAGCACTTGGCCCCGAGGGCGCGCTTCGCAGGAGGTGCAGCACCACCACCCCGCGGGCCTGTGCCGCACACGGCCCCTTGCGAGGTTTCCCTCGTCCTCCTTCCCTCTCTCCCCTCGTCCTCCTCCGCTTCCTCCCTCCTCCTCCTCCTCCTCCTCCTCCTCTTCCTCGTCATCATCATTATCATCATCACCACCCTCTTCAGCAGCGTCATCGTCATCATCATCACCATCACCACCACCACCATCATCATCACAATCCTCGTCGTAGTCATCATCAGCAGCAGCATCATTATCATCACCACCATCACCATCATCATCATCACCACCATCACCATCCGTAGCCATTTTGCCTCAAGGCTGGTTTGGTTTGCTTGCTGCTTGCCCGGCCCCGCCTCGGACAGATCGGTCCGCGCCGCGATGCCAGAGGCTGATTTGACTGCGCATGTGTAGAGTCGGACTACTCAGGTGGAGATGTTAGTCAAAGGAATAAGGAATGCTCGAGCTCAAGGAAAGCCAGAAGGCGCAGGCGAAGGCTCTTGCGGGCCACACGTCCCTCCTTGCCCAGCTCAGTGCGCAATTATCGGAGGTGGGTCTTCTTATGAAGCCGTCTCAGCAGGAGATTGCAGCAATGCAGAAGAAGGGGATGAGAAAATGGCCGTCTCTTGGCTGAGCTCCATCTTGATGTAGGCAGTGGTGGCAGTTTGAACAGCGATGAGTATGGTGGCTTGGCTCCAGATCGTAAGAAAGCTCGTTCTGTGGGTGGTGCTTCGGTTATGTCCAGAACTTCTCAGATTTTCTCGGAGGCGAACCAGTTCAAAGCAATCTTGGCTGGTTTCATGGGTGAGTTTAGTAAGAAGGTTCTTGGGAAGGCAGGCGATGCGATTCACTCCTCATCGCGCGGCAGTTGATGTCCAGCAGCAGATGAAGGTCACTCCTCAGAGTTTCGCGAAGAAGGTGAGTATTGCCTTTTCTCCCTCGGCGTCGGACGTCCAGGAAACGCCAAGATGCTTTCGGAAGAGCTCCACCGACGGCGTTGGTTTTGACACCCCTCGCGGTCAGGTCTCGCTCCGTCTGGAGCCGCTCAGAGATCAGGCCGCCAATATGCAGTGCAGCGTCATCGGTAGAATCAGGAAGCTTCTCGAACCTCTCATCGACATAGAGTGGGAGCTCCGTTCCAGCCCTCTGAATGTATTTATTTAAATTGAAAATGAAAAGGCAGGTGGGACCAGGTCGAGAAGCCAGGTGCTGATACCCCGAAGCCGAAAGTCACTTCTTTTCCACGTGCGTTCAAGGCCCTGAAGATTGAGGAATCGAAGCCGGGGGAGATTGTGGATCAGGTTTTCAAATAGTTGCGTCTTTAGTGACGCGGCAGCAGCAGACCCGCCATCAGCAATGCCTGAGCGCGAGGGCACCATCACTCCCGACACCGCCTCTCTCTCGAGTGCTGAGGGTTACGTAGAGGCACAGCGAAGACTGAGGGGGATCAGACAATGCATTCCTCCCGTTCTTGCCTGCAAAATCGGTGTCTGCGGTGACGTGGTACTCCAGGTGGTTATTCGGCAGCGTCTCCCGCATGTGGCATCGGTCTTGTCAGCGTTGGAAGCTTTTCTCTGGTCTTATCAGGCGTTACCAGATCGCGTGCATCCAGGGATCTAACGACCACGGGGGGGACCTCGTCTGTTTGCAGAAGGAATTCCCCAGGCATCGTTTCTTCATCAACCCGCACCCGCTGAACACTCCTGGTCACGGGGTCCTGGTGTGTATTAAGAAGCGCGTTGCCGGGTGTCTCACCGACTTTCACCTGGAAGCTGCGGTTCCGGGGAAGATATCTTATGTGATGGGCTGGCGCTCCTCTGGGATCCCTGGGGTTGCGGCGATCCGCTTGCCGAGCGTTGATGTCGGCATCGGCCTCTATCGTCAGCAGTTGATCCGTTTGCAGTCGACGCTCTTCTCTGCCTCTCTCGCCGCCGATCTCATCCCCGGGGGCTTCATTTTTGCATTCAGTGACGAGGGTCGTTCTCAGGTTCAGTCGGGCACCTCTACTCGCGGGGGCACTGCTCACACTAGGGAGTTGAATCAGCGCGTTGGATCGCTCACAGAACTGCCCCAGCCTCACGATACTCGTCGGGCCTGCCAGGGTGCACAGATCGCGGGGGCCGCTCGGTTGGATCGGGTCTACATCAGTACGCACCCTTCGGTCCTGCATGATTTCGCGATCACAGGTTCTACTATCGGTATGCCTACCAACCTGAAGAACCCTTCGGACCACGTTCCTGTCGTGGCCACGGTTGCCCCCAAGCCTTGACCCGGCCCTGGCCCGCCCCCGATCCCTGCCTGAATCCCTCGAACACCTGAGCACCAGTCCATCCATGCTGAAAGGCTTGCAGAGGTTGACATCAATCCAAGGCCCAAGGATCACCTGGAAGCCACAAGGGTGGCGATGCATGAGGCCCGCTCCGAATTTCGGGCAGTCTTGCGATGCAGAGAGGCCACTGCGACCCACGAATTCCCCCACTGGAGTGCGTCGGCTCTTCGTCCGTTTCGAGCTGGACCTTCATCTCTCCACCTCCTTGTCGGCGGTGCACCCCGCTCTTTCTGGCATCTTCGATGTTGGCGCGTGCGCTCTGGCGGGCGACGCGGGCCTCATCGCGCGCATTGCTAATTTCAAAAACGCCCTCTTGGATGGTGAAGACACGGCGATTGAGCAGGCCGCCTCTATTCCTGAGCATGAGTTGCAGCGACGGCGTGCGCGTGTGCAGCGCAATCGCTAGCGATGGTGCTCATTGAACCCAACTGTCCGTCTCGGTAATATTCTGCACGAGCACACTGGCGCCCCTTGCGCGCCCCTTGAGCACGCAGGGCAGGAGCTTCCGCGCCATTGGGGTGGGGCGTTTGCTTCAGTCGAACCCGTTTGCTCTCTCTGGGACCCCCCGGAACTCATCCATAAGGTTTCGGACGTTTACCGTGGCCTGGAGTGGATCCTGGATCAAGCAGCGTTTGCTGCTTCGGTGAAACACCGCGGGGGATCTATGCCGGGTGGCGATGGAGTGCCATATAGCTGCTGGAAGAGTCCAGGAGCTCAGGAGAAGCTCTACTTGTTTCTATCGGCATTGCAGCGCTCATCTTGATGACCCCCATCCTGCCAACTTCCATCGGGTGTTCATGGTCTTCCTGGCCAAAGGGGATCGCCCCGCAGATGCATCGGCGGTGCCATCTAGAAAGCCTTCCAGTATTCGTCCGCTCTCTATGGGTTGCGCAGGCTGCAATGTGGTCGCCTCTGCTATTGCTCGGCCTCTCTCTCTGATGGGTCAGCGCTTTATCTTAGACAGTCAGAATGGCGGCGTCTCTGGTCGCTCGATATTGGATAACAGCATTGAGTGCGAAGGAGATGGGGTCTGCACTCGCCTTGAGGGGCAAGACAAAGCAGCGTAGCTCTTGACCGATGTTCGCGCCGCTTTCCCGACTTTGATGACCCAATGGCTGCTCTTCGTCATCGGTAAAATGTGCATTCCGGGGTGGGCCGTGAAATTATGCTCCGACCTCTATGAGGATAACGCCGCTCTGGCCCACTTCTGCGGCGTCGTGTTGGCCCAGTTCTCGGTTGGGCGCGGCGTTCGCCAGGGTTGCCCTGCGTCGATGCTCTTGTTTGCCCTCTCCCTAGACCCAGCGCGTCGCTGGCTGAATGCCACATGTCCCTTAGGTTTCAGGCTCTCAGGGTACGCCGGCGACTTGAGGTTCTGGCTGGCCAATATCTTCGCCGATTTGTCTCCGCCCTTGGATGAGCTCTGTCTGCTAGCTGGGGCGATCGGGCTCGAGCTGCACTTTGGGAAATACATTATCTTAGTGGTCTGTCCGCTGCAAGTTCAGGCTTTCTCTCAGATGCTACTAGCTCTGGGGCGAGGCTGCGAGCGTTTCTCTGTGGCCACGCGGCGCAGGCACCTTGGCATTAGTGTAGGCACCGATGCTCGCCTCCATTCGTTCCCCGCGCAGCAGGATAAATTGTTCCGCCGGGTCCGCGAGATCCGTCTGGTGGGCGTTGGGCTAGCTGAGTCTATTGTGGCTCACACTGTTCGGGCTGTTCAGTGCTGGGCTATGTTTTGCAGTTTCATAGACCGACCCCCCAACTGCTGCAGACGGAAGAACGGTTCTGCAGATCTTTCATGCTGGACCGAGGTACAGTTTCATTGCAGGAATGATGAAGTCTCTCAGGCACGCAGGGCGCAACACTCAATGCATGGCTCTGCCCCGCGCGCCCCAAGCTGCAGCGTTCAGAACAGCACAGGACTCGGAGGCATGGAGTCGGCACAAGAGGCGCCTAGACGAGATGGTGCAGAACTCCAATTTCATCCGTTTCGGCCATCTCGCGGTTGGTTCTCCAAATTGTTCCTGTCGTGCATGGTCGAGAACTATGCCGAGCATCTCCCTCGGGCTCGGGCGATTAACCCCGCTGCGCCTTACTTGGTCTCCCTAGCGAAGTTGGCGTCGTCTCTCCGCGCAGACATTGGGCCCGACCCTCTTCGAGACGACATCGAGCGACGTGTTCTGACGTGGATGCCCCTCCCCTCGCCTGCCTCTGCGTGGTTCGCCCCTTTTTCGCTAGACGTATGCGCGCCGTCTGCAATTCGGTTTCGATGTGTTTAGTGGTCGCCGTCCTTTGGGTTCCTTGTCGGGGACTTTGGACGTCGGCCCGTTTTCACGCCCGCCCAAAACCCCGTGCTTTTGGTTGCCCGGGGGCCGCAGATGACCAGCGTCATTACCTGCACTTGGGCCGCCCCCCTCTTCCCGCTCGGATTTGCCAGCCCGTCCCCAATTCTCTGCCGCGTAGACGGTCGAGCGCCCGACAAGCCCAGAGACATGGCACTTTGCACGTTGCTTGAGTGTTTCGCCCACACCCACTCACAACTGAGAGCCGCTGCCGTGCCTAGGGGGGCCTCGCCTGCGTTGATCTTGGAGGGCCGTTTGCGGCCCCCGATGCAACGGCGCCTTCCCGTTCGCGCGGCTGTAAGAGCCATCGGAGGTTCGGTCAGTTGGCCGTTCCGTTTGCGCGAGGTTCTCGATGATGGTCGGGGCTCTTATGCGCGGAGATGTGTGTCTCCCAGGGACGCTTAGTGGGCCTGGTTTGTTTCTCTCTCCCCCCTTGCTGCCGCCCCCCCTGTCCCGCTGCTGCCGCTGGCCGCCGCCGTCGTGGGCGCCGCCGCCGTCTGCCCTCTCGCCTCTATTGCCCCTTTCGGCCCGCGCCCTGGGTGATGGTTTGTGAGATTTAGTGTTTTCATTGTCTTCGGCCGCTTCACGTCTCCTGGAGTTCATGGTTTGGCTTTTGTCCTGGACCGCCCGCCTCCTTCGCCTCTCTCGCCTCTCTTGCCCCTTTTTGCTTGCTCCTACCTGATGGCGAGGCCCCCCGCTGCCCGCCCCGCTTCCGCGCTCTCTCTGGGCGGGGCGCCGGCGGACTCCGCGGGCCCGCCAGAAGGGTTAACCCAGCTACTGGTGTCGGGCACGGGCACGCCCGCTCTCGTGTTCTTTGCACCCGCGCGCCCGAGGTTTTCGATGATGGTCGAGGCTCCGTATGCCGCCCCGCGTGATGTTTCTGCTGGCCGCCCGCCTGTCTCTTGGGTGGCTAGCCTAGCAGCTGCGATCGATCGATCGCATCCTTCTCCCCGTTGCCTCCCCCCCCCTCCCTCTGCCTGCTTGCTGGCCCTGACTGGCCTCAGGGTGCACGTCGACCTTGGCGCCCAACCTGCGATTGCATGAGTTGGTTCCGCTTCCTTTGCGCCCGAAGTCTTACAGTGGTTTCACCCGCCGTAGCGTCCGTCGATCCGTCCTCTTGTAGATTGGCCGTTGGTCACGGTAACAGCGCGGCGAAGGCGGCTTCACCGAGTCTGGGGGGGAATCATCACCGCCAGCACCGTCACCATCACCGTTATCATCCTCAGCAGTATCATCATCAGCATTATCATCATCAGCATCATCACCACCACCACGAAATCACCATCACTATCACCATATGTTGCTGCGCCGTGGGCGGGTGTTCTTCTCTTTGTTCCACTTCCCCCTCCTCTTTCCCTCCTCATTCCTCCTCCTTCCTCCTTGGTCTTCAGTCCCTCTCCCCCCCGTCCTGCCCCCTCCTACCCCCTGTAGATGCGATTGGACGTTCGATGCCAGTCCGACGCGCGCGCCTGGGTCAGGCGCGGGGCCACGAGGTGACGATGACGAGGCCGCTAAAATGTGATGGACGTTTTGCATCCAGCTGCCTCCAGCGATTCCCCCATTGCCAGCGCCGCATTCTGGGCGGCAGCTGTTCGAGAAGGCGAAGGGGCCTGTTGAGGGCCTCTCGGGGCAGAAGGCTCGAATTCGTGCTTCGTGTTCCCGCTCTCACAATACCGCAATTCCGCCTGACGCTGTCCAGGCGCCCGGGCGGCCCGGGCGTCCGGGCGGCTGGGCGCCCGGGCGTCCGGGCCGCCTGGGCGTTCGGGCGCCGGGCGCTCTGGGCGTCCGGGCGGCCCGGGCGGCCCGGGCGTCCAGGCGGCAGGGCGGCTGGGCGCCGTCCGGGCATCCCGGCACCCGGGCGTCCGGGGCGCCCGAGCGGCCGCGGCGTCTGGGCGGCTGGAGGCCCGGGCGTCCGGGGCGCCCGGGCGGCCGCGGCGTCCGGGCGGCTGGGCGCCCGGGCGCCTGGGCCGCCCCGGCATTCGGGCGCCGCGCGCTCTGGGCGTCCGGGCGGCCCGGGCGGTCCGGGCGGCTGGGCGCCGTCCGGGCATCCCGGCGCCCGGGCGTCCGGGCGCCCCGGGCGCCCGGGCGGCCGCGGCGTCCGTGGGCCCGGGGCGTTCCGGGCGGGGCGTCCGGGCGGTCCGGGCGGCTGGGCGGCTGGGCGCCGTCCGGGCACCCGGCGTCCGGGCGTCCCGGGCGCCCGGGCCGCGCGTCCGGGGCTGGGGGCCGGGCCGCCGGGCGTCGGGCGCCGGGCGCTCTGGGCGTCGGGCAGGCGGCGGCGGCTGGGCGCCGTCCGGGCATCCCGGCGTCCGGGCGTCCGGGGCGCCCGGGCGGCCGCGGCGTCCGGGCGTCTGGGCGGCTGGGCGCCCGGGCGCCCGGCCGCCTGGGCGCCCGGGCGCCGGGCGCCACGGGCGCCCATGGGCCTCCCGGCGTCCGGGCGTCCAGGCGCCCGCCCGGACCCCGTCTCGCTTTGTCTTGCAATTCATGATGATGTTTTTGCAATGAATACAACAGTTCCACCCGCCTGCCCCCTTGACATCCCACGTGCCTTTTTTGTCCCCGCTCATCTTGGATGACAGCCAAATTTGCACCTCATGAAGAAATCGGGTCTGATTTGGAAGCCGCGATCAAAAGTCCATTGCCCGGGCGGAAAAAAACATACGAAGTATCTCGCGCATCAAATTGCTAACATCTCCCCGTATCTCGCGCACTGTGTTCACGCGAAGATATCCAAAGGGACAAGTTCCACACTGTCGCATTCTCAACCATTTTGGGTATTCCAGAAATGTCCAGTATACTGCCTCCGTCCCTCCTCCTTCATCGGGCCTTTTGATATTCCCCACAGTGGCTTCGTCTGAGTACAGAATTAAGGAAAGGTGATCGCGAGTGTGCTGCGCATCGACTTCCTGAGAAAAGGCACGAAACCAAGAACTCCCTGCGCTAACACCCATATGAGGCCGATCGGATTGATATAGTGAAACCAAACCTCGCTGCCATCTTTCATTGCCAGCGCAAAGCAATCGATAAGGTGCCCAAACGGCGTCTCAAGAGGCAAAACATCTGGTTCATG